CCATAATGCTCTTATAATAGTGGTGAACCGTTTAATAAATATAGAGAAGGATATCCTAAAATTAAAAAAAATTTTTTCTAAACTTAGGATCTTAATATTGAGAAGGCAAAATTAAAAGAGCCATCAGAGAAGATTTTGGCCACTAGACTGATAGAATCATAGGAACCTTGGAGATAGTACGTGGTTACCTATTTAATCAAAGTGACAATAAAATAAAATATTTTGAGGTAAATGTAGAAGAAGGTAACATGATTACAAGGGTATTTAGCCCTTTCATAGGAGAGGTACCTTAGATTTTTAATTTATTTTTAATGTTTATTTATTTTCGAGAGGGAGTGTGAGCGAGGGGAGGAGCAGAGAAAGAGGAGAGAGCAGCCTCCACGCTGATAGTGTAGAGCTCAACACCAGGCTTGACGTCACAAACCATGAGATCATGACCCGAGCCAAAATCGAGAGTCAGACACCCAACTGACTCAGCCACCCATGTGCTCCAGATTTATTTTTATTTTTATTTTTTAAATTTTATTTTATTTTTTTAAATTTTTTAATGTTTTATTTATTTCTGAGAGAGAAACAGCTGAGCAGGGTAGGGTCAAAGAGAGAGGGAGACACAGAATCCAAAGCAGGCTCCAGGCTCTGAGCTGGCAGTCAACACAGAGCCTGACGCGGGGCTCGAACACATGAACTGTGAGGTCATGACCTGAGCCGAAGTCAGACGCTTAACCGACTGAGCCACCCAGGCGCCCCTCCAGATTTTTTTTTTTAATTGAAACATGATAAAGCCAAAATAAAGTATAGAAATTTATTCTGTTGAGATATGGAATCATTTATCTGGGCAACTTACACAGAAGATAGTGACCTCTTTTTAACTCTTGCTTAGAGCTCTATGACCAATTTATCATTTTAATAGAGATAGAGCTGAATTCTAGTTTTGCATGCTGAGCATGGAGCCCAACAAGGGGCTCGATCCCATAACCCTGGGATCATGACCTGAGCCAAAATCAAGAGTCGGACGTTCAACTGACTGAGCCACACAGGTGCCCCTCCTTGCACACCTTTTAAAAAAAAAGTGTGGTAAAATATACATACCACAAAATTTGCCATTTTAAGCAGTTTTATGTACAGAGTTCAGTGGCATTAGGTATATTTCACATTGTGGAGCAGCCATTACCATCTCCATCTTCCCTAACTGAAACTCTGCCTCAGTTAAACACTCCCGCTCTCCTTCCTCCCCATCCTCTGGAAGCCCCCGTTCTACTTTCTGTCTCCATGAATTGCACCACTCGAATTCCTCATACAACTGAAAAAATACAGTATTTGTCTTTTCGTGACTGGCTTCTTTCACTTAGCATAATGTCCTTAACATTCATTCATGTTATATATAGCATGTGTCCGAATTTCCTTCCTTTTTAAGGCTGAATAATATTCCACTGGCCATACAGACCACACTTTGTCTTTCTGTTCATCCCTCAGTGGATACGTGTGTTGTTTCCATCTTTCGGCTATTATGAATGGTGCCGCTATGAACTTGGATGGACAAATATCTACTTGAATCTCTGCTTCACCTGGCACAACTATTTAAAGTGGCAAGAATGAATTGACTCATCAACATGACTCAAAGGTCTAGCTACTCTCTTGTACGTAACAATAAGAAGTAAAAGGATATAAACTTAAATCATGCATAGCAATCAATGTTTTAGGTTTTCTTTTTTTGAGAGACAGAGAGCGCGTGCGCGCACAGGGGCAGGAGGAGAGGGGCAGAGGGAGAGGAGGGAGAATGTTATTAAGCAGCCTGCATGCCCAGCACAGAGCCCAACAGAGGGCTCGGTCCCACAACCGTGACATCAGGACCTGACCCAAAATCAAGAGTAAGACACTTAGCCAACTGAATCACCCAGGTGCCCCAGTGTTTTGGGTTTTCTCAGAAACTGTCCAGGTAGCCAAAAATTCTTTATTTATTTTATTTTATTTTTTATTTTATTTGTTTTGAAAGAGAGAGAGAGATGGGAGGAGGGGCAGAGAGAAAGGGAAAGAGAGAGAATCTCAAGCAGGCTCTGCATTGTCAGTGCAGAGCCCGATGCAAGGCTTGAACTCATGAACCATGAGATCATGACCTGAGCTGAAATCAAGTCAGATGCTTAGCCAACTGAGCCACTCAGACACCACCAAAAATTCTTTATTAATTCACATTTGTAAAGTTACCTAAGGATCTTGGAATTGTGTAATGAATCAATTTAGTTGAACCCAAATGTACATTTTTATAATCTTAACCATTATGTAATGATTATTTTGGATTATTTGATCAGGAAGACAAAATCAGAAGTGTGGAATATTCAGATTAACTAATTTCTTCATCAAAAAAAATCCAGATCTTATAAAAAGTAAAAGTTATAATTGTATGATACTTAATGTAAAGCAGAGAAAACACAGATATTATTTACATTTTATAAGCAAAATTATTAAGCCAATCTAATTTATCCAAAGATCCACATCAATTACATTAACTTGGTTCCTTTTCTTTATTTTATTTTTATTTTTTAAGTTTTGTAATGTTTATTTTTGAGAGAGAGATAGAGAGCACACAGGGAAGAGCAGAGAGAGAGGGAGACAGAATCCAAAGCAGGCTCCAGGCTTTGAGCTGTCAGCACAGAGCCTGATGTGGGGCTCGAACCCACAAACCATGAGATCATGACCTGAGCTGAAGTCGAACCCTCAACCAACTGAGCCACCCAGGCGCCCCCATTAACTTGGTTCCTTAAAAATCTTTCTGAGCTAGCAATTTCTTGTAAGAGGGATTTTTAAAAAATCTAGCACATTTAAAGCATTAGAAGCTCAGTTTCTTTATTTTCTGTGATTTGCCAGAACATTAGATTTATATAAACACTTCTATGTCTCTATAAACCAATCAACACAGAACACCCCGTAAGAGACCTAGTACTCTAAGTCATTAATCCCCTCCAGATGCAGAAAAATATTTCACACTCACAGAAGAATTAAAGGTCTTTCTGAATTACAGACATGTAGACCCACAGAAACAGACACAGTGGCTTCATGCCCCCAACTCACAGGCCACAGGTCAAAAGTAAACACAGGCACACAAAACTCACCAGTCCAGATCTCAAAGAGTTGTTCTCCTTCCCAGTGGGTACAAAATGGTTCATCAATTTGGGGCACACATAGACAAACCACCACCACCACCAAAGATCAGCACATCAGGATTTCTGCTGCCTCTTAACCGACAGACACTAGGTCTCCATCATGTGTGCCAGAGAGGTCACAAATGGCCAGTCCATAAAATTGAATTCTCCATCATTGCTGCCACCAAAAATGAAAACAAAAATTAGCAAGGAAAAAAAAAAAGACAATAACGACAAAAGAGTCAGCAATGGGGCACCTGTGTGGCTCAGTCTGTTAAGTGTCCCACTTCGGCTCAGGTCATGATCTCAGGGTTCATGGGTTTGAGCCCTGCTTTGGGCTCCATGATGATGGCTGGAGCCTGGAGCCTGCTTTGGGTTCTGTGTCTCCCTCTGTGTCTGCTCACCACCCGCCCCCCCTCCTTCGTGCTCTATCGCACCTCTCCAGTACCGCAGGTTCTTGGTTCTGACACCTGAGTTTACTGGGGCATCTCCACAGAACCTCCCAAACTCTTAAAGTATAATTTTCAAAAAGATAAAATTATGACCCTTGGGCAAAAATAAAATAAAGCCATCTCAAAGCTTTTATAAATAAATAAAATGAGCTACACTCATTAATTAATGAGAGATGTTGGGGCACCTGGGTGGCTCAGTCGTTTGAGTGCCGACTTCGGCTCAGGTCATGATCTTGCGGTTTGTGGGTTCGAGCCCCATGTCGGGCTCTGTGCTGACAGCCAGCTCAGAGCCTGCTTCAGATTCTGTGTCTCCCTCTCTCTCTGACCCTCCCCTGTTCATGCTGTCTCTCTCTCAGAAATAAATAAAACATTAAAAATAATAATAAAAAATAAAAAGGTTTAGTGGGCAGCCAGAGTTGAGAAACACTGATCTAAAACTTTCTCTAATCATACACTTAAATATCGTCCCCAAATCTTGAATAACTACCAACACATGTCTTAATAAAAAAATTAATGAGAGATGTTATGAATGGTTGAAAGAGCATTTTAAAAGCTAAAAGCGTTACAATGAGAGGACTGAGTTTGATTTTTAATAGCTGGCTAATGTACAACCGGCCATAAATCTTTGAGGTTTTCTGTTTCTGCAGACAAAAATTGTTTACATCTCTCCTAGACAAAATCTACAGGTTAATGTGTGACTTCACTCAATCTGGGACCTCCAGTCTGTGCCAGGGGAGGAAGTGAAGTACATTCCTATAGTCTAGAAGATGCTCAGGTGGCCTTTGCTCCTGCAAAATGCTGAAAGAACGTGCTGTCCACCTTTTGGACTTATTTTCTAATTCCAGATAATTCTTTTGGATACCGATAAACACATTCTGGGGAGGATTAGCTACTGTCCTTTATTAGGATCCTAAAGGGTGAGATTTGGAACAGAGAAGTTTTGATGTTGGTTGGAGATAGGGAAAAAGTGTGGAGGAAGGTCAAGGTCGTACTGAGGGAGGCTGCCTTGGGTGGGGTCCTGGAGCCTCAAGGGTAGGTCATGGGGCAGTGGGGGCTGGGACTCCAAAGGTGGGGAGAGGGCAGGTAGGAGTGGCTGAAGGCAAACCCTCTTTTTTATTAAAAAAAAGAGTTTTTAATGTTTATTCATTTTTGAGAGAGAGAGAGTCAGAGTGTGAGCAGGGGAGGGGCAGAGAGAGGGAGACAGAACATGAAGGAGGCTTCAGACTCTGAGATGTCAGCACAGAGTCAGACGCAGGACTCAAACTCACGGACCATTGAGATCATGACCTGAGCCAAAGCCAGATGCTCAACCGACTGAGCCACATGGGTGCCCCCAAACACCTCTTTTTTTTTGAGGGTGGCCCAGAGCTTTCCCCAGTGGGAACGGCACCCAAATACTTCTTCCTTGCAGGTGGCCAAGTTCACCTTCCTGGGCAGCGAGGACGAACTGGAGATGATCTTCGACTGGGTGGATGTGGAGCAGAAGGGACGCCTCTCCCTGGAAGACTTCAGCTCTGGGCTCAGTATGTCTGTCCCGGGAGGGCCTCTGGGGACTTGCTGCACAGCCAGCCGCCCTATGCGGTATCCCCAGTATGGGGAGGGGAGAGACGACCTTCACACCACGCCTGAGAGCAGTTCAGGGGGTGGACGATAATATGGATTGCTCTAGAGATGAGGATACTAAGCCTGCGTGGGCAGGCAGTGGTTTTAAGACCAAGCTCGGTCTTAAGACTCTAGCTCAGGAGGCCTGCTCACTTCTTTTACCACCAGCGAGAGCAGTTCATTGGCTGAGGGCTCCCCTTACCATACACCTCCTACAGGGAGGACTCTGGGCTTACTTTCTGATGCCTCACTTGTGTTCTCCCAATAAAAGGCTTCCCTTGAGCAAGAAGTTAAGCACCTCCATTCCTGAGACCACGGGTCTTATTTCGGCCTGAGGCAGGCTTTGGTTAAGGGAATTCCAGGCCCCAGGGAGCAGCAGAGGGTGATATTTTGTGGTAGAGGACTTCCCAGAGTCTTTGTCCCCAACACCTGATTCTCAAGGCCGTTCCAAAAGGACCTAAAGAGACCAAGGCTGCCCGGGTACACTATTCCCACTGACCTTCCCAATGGGGGTGGACCTTCCCGCCCAGGGAGTGGAAGGGTGATGTCCTTGCAGAGACCCTGCAAACCACAGCTCAGCCTTAAACGTCAGCAAAGCCATCAGGAGTTCTCAGGTCTGCTGAGTCTCCAAAAGTTTGGGGGACAACAGGGATGGAGGCCGGGAATCTGCATTTACATGTCGTAAAATGGGCAGAGTATATAGCTAGAGTAGATTCTCTTTATTTTTTCATATTTTTATTTTTGAGAGAGACACAGTGTGAGCAGAGTTTGGGCAGAGAGAGAGGAAGACAGAATTCAGAGCAGGCTTCGGGCTCTGAGCCATCAGTGCAGAGCCGGATGTGGGGCTCGAACTCACGAACCGCGAGATCGAGACTTGAGCCGAAGTCAGACGCCTAACCGACTGAGCCACCCAGGAGCCCCATAACTTGAATAGATCCTCAATGTTGATATGATGAATGTATGAACATGGCCCTGTATAACTGTGACCAACACGGATACAATTATTTCCCCCAAGGGCTGGAGCAGAGCAACATGGGAGATCAAGGGGCTGAGCCCAGCCCCACTCTGCTGCCTTTTGTCTCCTGTCCCACAGAGAACATCTTCGGCTCCGGCTCCCATGGGCTCCGCAGAAAGAGGCCAGTGCCCTCCAAGAGAGAGTCTGCAGCCACCAGCTTCCCAGTGCTAGAGGAGGCTGACCCTGAGGAGAAAGAGGCCTTCTTTGCCTTTGTCCAGCAGCTGGGGGCAGGCCACTTACCTCCTGAGTAAGGCTGGTGCTGTGTGCGGGGGCAGGGGGCGGGCAGGGGCAGGCACTGCGGGTCAGTGGGGGCGAGGACTCACCTGGACCCAGTGTCAAGGTGGGAGGCCACCCGATAGAGCTGGGTGCAAATCCCAGTGTGGCCACTTGTTAGCTGTGTGACTGCAGGCCAGCGGCCTAAGCCTTGACCTCTGTTTCCCAGCTGCAGTGAGTTTAAGAGCAATTGTGGGATTAAATGAAGCCGGGTGGGGGGTGTCTGCTCGTGAGGAGTCCCACCCACTGCCACTCATTCCCTCCCTGTCCTGCCCTATGTGACTGCTCCCCAGGGTTAGTGGGTTGGGGGTATCAGGCTCCCCGGGTACTCACATTCTTAAAAACACGACTCATGGAGGGAGAGGATCCCCCCGAAGGAGTGATTTCAGGTACAGTGATGCCCTTGGTTGGGAAGACTTGGAGAAGAGGAGGGCATTTCCTCCAAACTGTCTCAGATCCTGGGCTCGCTCCTGGGGTTCATGCATGCTCAGAGAAGGGGGACCCTGCCCCTCTCACATCTCCCAGGTCCCATTGGTCTCTTCGAGCCTGCAAGGAAATCGCTTCTGCCTGTGTACCTGCCTCATAGGGCTCTGTGGGGACAGGCGCTCCGAGGGCGGGGCCAGGCATTTGTGGGGGGCAGGGTGGGACTCAGGGTGCAGGCTGGCGGGGCAGGTGTGGTGGGGAGCCATCTGCCCGCTTGGCAGCTTGGCCTGGGCTCAGGCCTGTGGCGTCTGTCTTCATGACTTAATTAAATCCGTGTGAAAGCAGCATTTGTCGAGCGCCAGCCTTGTGCCAGGCTCCAAGCTGATGCTTTTCTGGCAGGCAGGTCACATTCCCCAGAGACCTTACTGGGCAGGTATTTTACAAATAAGCCCAGAGAGGGCATGGGAGGTACCAAAGTCACACAGCCACAGAGCGGGAGAAGAGAGAAGGCAATGGAAGCCCTGGACCATCAGGCCCCCAAGTCCCCCCTCCCCCCACCCCATAGCTCATCCCCGAACCACAGAGAGAGAGTGCCTGGGGGTTCAGGAAGGTAGAGGGCAGGTCTGGCCAAGGTTCCTGGGGAGGTGGAAGTTTGAATTGTCCCCGGTAGGGTATACACAGGTTTCTGCGGCCCCGGGAGTGGGGGTGGGGGGGGGCAGGTGTCCTGAAGTGTAACCAGTACAACGGAGAAGTGGGGACCCCCTGCCTTCTGGTCCCACCTCACATCTTGTCTCTGGCTCCCCGCTTCCCCAGGCAGGCGGAGGTCTGGCAGCTGTGGAGGGAGCTGCGGAGGGAGGAGCCCCAGCTGGCGGGCAACCTGGAGGGCTTCCTGGCCAGGGTGACCAGCCGCCTGCGGGAGGCCCAGGCCGACAAAGAGGCTCTGGAGCTGACGCTGCAGAAGTGAGTGGGGCACGCGCTGGACCTGCTCTTTGCGTTGCAGCCGGATGTGAACTGGATTCCCTCAGCTCCAGGAGTATGGGGGCGGGGGTTCCCCGCGGGGCCTGGGAGCTGGGGGCCGGAGGGCAGAGCTGAGCCGAAGGAAGGGAGGGCTGGGGGGCCTGGTGACGAGGACAGAGCTGGTAACGGGAATAGCCCGCGTGTCTCGGTGCAGGGCCGCTCGCTCACGTAGATCAGGAAGTATGTGGCAACCCTGGGTTTGGCGCGGGCATCGCCCTGCCAGGGGGTCTGAGTTGGGGGGCGGGGGCTGGTGACAGCGGGAAGTGGGGACGGAGTGATGGGGCAATAGGGACCATGCGACGGGGCCAGGGGGACCAACACCTTGGCGCTGGTTACAGAAGTCAGCATGACAGGATCGCGGTGACCAACGTCAAGGGCATACGGGTCAGGGGTGTTATTGGGATGAGTGTTCTCAGGGTGGCGGGGGTCAGTGACTGCTGAGGTGAGCGGTGGGGTGGACCCTAAACCCAGGCCCAGACCACCCCTGCCAGCAGCGGGGTGCCAGGGCGCTGACACGCTGCCCACTTGCCACCCCCCTGCCAGGCGGGACTCGGAGCACCATCGAGAGGTGCAGCGGCTCTACGAGGAGGCGGAGCAGCAGATCCTCCGGGAGAAGCAGCGGCTGCAGGCCGAGGTGGCCCCCAGCCCCGGGCAGCCCACCCACCCTGTACCCTGGCCCTGGACTCCTCCGCCGGCTAAGTAGTGGGGCCAGAGCCTGGCCAGTGGGGGCAGCAGGAAGCTGCTGGGCGTGGGTCCTGTTAGCCCTGGACCGGCTGGCATTCCTGGGAGAGGGGGTGGGGTGTGCTGAGCCCGAGCCCCCTGCCCGTCGCAGCCAGGCCTCGCTCTCTGGGCCTGTGTCCTCGTTGCCACAAGCTAGACCTGGGATCCCTCTCTGCTGGGACATCCTGGACACTCTGGCCTGGGGCCTGGGTAGGCGGAGCGCAGGGAGGGCTGGCCAGGCCCCGCTGGGGCTTAACATGTGTGGCGCAGGGGGTGAAATTTCTCTGCTCCGCAGAGCGACTCCCGGGGCCTGGCCTTCAGCACCCAGATGCAGGAAGTCCTGGAGGCCAAGGAGCGTGAATATCAGCGGCTGACCGAGGGCCAGAAGCAGGTGAGTGACGGCGCTTCCGCGGGGGCCCAACTTCTGAGCAGTCACAGACTCTGACACCCACTTCCTGAGAATTCATGGGGCTTCCTGGGCTCCCAGAGGAGGGCGGCCCCCTTTTCTGAGATGAGGCCAGGCCGTGCAGAGGGAGCGCTGGGAAGGTCCAGGTTCAAATCCCTGCCGTTGCAATTAAGTGCCATGCAGTTCTGAGTCGATAACTTTGCTTGTCTTGGCCTTCGTTGCCCCATCTGTAAAATGGGAATAGTCACGTCTACTGCCTCTCCCATGCTAGTTGTGTCAAATGAGGCAATAAATGGGAAAGCACTTCGAAGCAGGAAGGTACTGGGCAAGCACGAGGTCTCCACGTTGGAGAGGCTTTGTGGCACTTGGTTTTTGTCTCCACTGTCCACTGAGTGACCTCAGGCAGGTTTTTAACCTCTCTGGGCCTTGGTTTCCTCATCGGAGAGGTGGATATCAGAACTCTTGCCCTAGGCGTGCATGGGTGGCTGAGTCGGTTGAGCTTCAGGCTTCGGCTCAGGTCATGATCTCCTGGTTCATGGGTTCAAGCCCCGCATCAGGCTCTGTGCTGACAGCTAGCTCAGAGCCTGGAGCCTGTTTCAGATTCTGTGTCTTCCTCTCTCTCTGACGCTCCCCTGCTCACACTCTCTCTCTCTCTCTCTCTCTCCCAGAAATAAATAAAACATTAAAAAAATAAAAAAAAAATAAAAAGAACTCTTGCCCTAGAAGCCGCTGGGATGACAAGTTACCATATTCGAGGGCCTGGCGTGGTGCCCGGCACATAGTAGGTGCTTTACATGTCGCAGTTGTTACTGCCTCTGAATCTGACCTAGCTCCCTGCTGCCCTGGCACCCCAGGCCCCACGGCCTCTGGTCACTTCCAGTTAGCATCATGGCTGAGCCTTTGGGTCTGAGACGCTGCCCTGCTATCCCTTCCTTTCTCAGCTCCCAGACCACTGTCCTTAGTAGGACAATCAGCTTTCCTTCAGCCACGGACAAGGTGCCCAGACCCATTCCCCCCATTGCCCTTGGCTGGCCCCGCCACCTGGTCTCACCGTCCCAACAGGCTGACTTCCAGGTGCCAGTACAGCCACTGCTCCTTGGAAATTGAGGCAGGCGCCTCTGCCAAGGGAGGAGGCTGGGCTTTCCACATGGGGCCATTCTGTCCCAACCCCCACCAACGTGAAGCTCTCCCCCAAGGTCATTCATTCCTTTACCCAATGATTATTTACGGTGCACCTACTAGTGCCTGGCACTGTTCTAGGTTCTGGGGAACATGATAGACACAAACCCCTGCCCATGGAGTTCCCTCCCTTAGGCAGGAAGATGGATGACCAACAAAATAAGCAACTAAAATCTGTACCATGTGAGATAGTGTTAAGGAAAAGAAGAGAAATTGAGCAGGAAGATAGGAGGGTTTTGACAGGGGTGTCCAGGAAGGCCTCACTGAGTTGACATTGGAGTAAAGACCTGAAGGAGATGAGGGCTGGGCCATGTGATATCTGGGGAAGAGCAGTTCAGGCAGCTTGAACAGCAAGTGCAAAGGCCCTGAGGTAGACACATGCTATGAATGTTCCAGGAGCATCAAGGAGACAGACCTGTGGCTGGAGCAGACAGAGGGAGGGAGGGTAGTGAAGGAGGAGGTCAGAGATGTCACGGGGTGGGAGGGACTCTGCAGGGACCTGGATGCCCCGGTGAGGGTTCCGCCTTCCACTCTGAGTTCTCCAGCTGCGTGCCATCTCCGAGTCATGTGACTTGCTGTTGGCTCTGGAGCTCCCTGCGGACCAGATGGGGTTCGGAGATGAGCAACTGTCACAGAGCTTTGAGCGGAGGAGGGTATGATCCCACTTAGGTGGTGGGCCCTAGTGGTGCTGCAGTTTGTAGTTCTTATACAGCCCTCTCTCCACCCTACCCCGGCGATTCAAGTGTCTCTCCTGGGTGAGGTCATGGAGCTCACTAGGCCAGTAAGGGGTAACCCCCCCATCCTATGTTTTTTCTTAAGTTTATTTTGAGGGAGAGAGAGTATGCAGGGGAGGGGCAGAGAGAGAGGGAGACAGAGAATCCCAACCAGGCTCCGCACTGTCAGCGCAGAGCCTGATGTGGGGCTGGAACTCACGAACCCTGAGATCATGACCTGAGCCGAGATCAAGAGTCGGATGCTCAGCCGACTGAGCCACCAGGCGCCCCCCTCCAATCTTATGTTGAAGCCGGGTCTCCAGAAGCCTGGGGTCTATACCCCACGATGGCCTCTGGGGGCTGTGTGTGGCCCTGGAAGGCATGTGTGCATCTCTCTTCCTCTCATGCCACTTCCTGCAGCTGGAGGCCCAGCTGCACCACCTCAGCGACTCACACCAGGCGGCCAGCGCCGAGAACCAGCAGCTTCGGGAGGCCGAGCGTGACCTGGCCGGGCAGCTGGAGGAGGTGCAGGGGAGGCTGCGGGAGACCAGAGGGCAGCTGAATGCCGCCAGGGGCCACGTGTCCTGGCAGATGGAGGATGAGCCAAGGCAAGTAGCTGCCACCCCTGGGCTAAGGTGGGGACCAGGGGCTTCCTGAAGGAGGTGAGGGAGTTCTCTGGGGCTCTGGTCAGCATCCGGAACACACCCAGAATCTCCCTCCTGAAGCTTTACAACAATCATTCCCGGCTGACAGTCTCATGCCCACTTCTCAGGCAGGGAAAGTAAGGCACAGAGAGGGGAAAGTCATGTGTCAAAGTCACATAACTGGGATTACACACACACACACACACACACACACACACACAGTCTAGTGTGGTAATGGATCCCAGGCAGGCACTCACTCTACCTGTTACAGCCCAGAGGAGTGAGATGGGCCAGAATGGTCAGGGAAGGCTTCCTGGAGGAGGTGAGGCTTCATATAGGCTCCAAAGGATGGGCAGGATTGTTTGAGGGAGGTGCATGCGGGGTGAGAAGGACTGCCTGGGCAGAGATGGGGGTGGGGTGGGGGGAGGAGGGTGTTGGTGTGACATCTGTCTGCCCCTCTCCTGACCTCAGCTTCCTAAACCCTGTCTAGTGTCCCCAGAGCAGGCGAGGAGAAGGTTGCAGACACCGAGGCAGTGTCCTCAGAGGAGGCTCCCCTGCCTGAACTGTTTGGGGATGAGGACGCCTGGGGTGAGCTTCTGAGCAGCTTCAACGCATCCTCGCGCAGGGCCCTGCAGCTCTCCTGGAGCCCCCCCCAAACCCCGAGAGCCCCCTCAGACTCCCAGACGCCCCAGGTAGTCAGGCAGATCTCCACCTCGGAGCCGCATGCTGTGCTCTTCAGTCAGGAGCCACCTTCAGACCTGGGTGAAGCTCCGAGGAGCCCCCCGGGGGCGTTCCCCGGGGCTGAGGCGGGGACAGGAGCAGACCTAGATGGGCAGGACATCAGCCCAGAGCAGCCCGTCCAGCCTCACCACCCGGAGCCTAAGGAGGAGTCGGGGCCTGGCCCTGAGGCCACCTTCCACAGGAGTTTCCCAGGGGCCCCGACGGAGGAGTCAGGGAGCCTAGTGGCGGCTGCACTCAAAATGCTCGTTCCTGTGGAGGATGCACCCCCTGCCCCGGTGACCTCCTCCCCTCCCCAGACCCCAGCTGGGCCCAGCGAGCAGCTCCAGGCCTCCTACCCAGACGACGAGAGCCCTGGCCCGGGGCCTGTCCCAGACAAGTTGCGCAGGCAGAGAGAGGCCCTCCATCAGGACGCGCCCGCCCCTGGCTCCGAGCCAGGACTGGGGTCCCCAGGAGCCGGAGCCCCCGCCCCAGGGCTGGCTGAGCCCTCCCAGGACCCGGAGCCTGCGGGTCGGGCTCCCACGGAGGGATTGGAGCGGGGCCAGCTGCGCCCCAATGCGCAGGAGGCCCATCCTGGAGGGCCACGAGAAGCTCACAGCCACGTCCTGGGGCCAGAAGGCCTGCCTGCCCTCTCCCACAGGAGTCTGAAGGAAGAGCCCAAGGTCGAGGAAAGGAAATAGGTGGACGGAGGAAGGCAAGACCTCAGTTCAGAGCAGCCAGCCGGAGGTCATGGCCTGAAAACTGGGCACTCAGAACTCCCCGAGCAGGATGGTCTACCGGCCCCCCTCTCATATGAGGCACCGCAGGCTCAGGCTGTAGCCGAAGCCCCTGCTTCTAGAAAACAGTCTCCCCAGGAGGGGGCTCAGCACGGGGATGGAGCAGGGCCCCCGAAGCCCACACAGAGCCTGCCCCCCATGGCTGAGCTGGAAACCCAGCCTCTGCCCTCACCTACAGCTGCTCCCCCAGGAGAACAAGGCACCCTACCATCCAGGGCAGAGAACAGACCCGAAGACCCAGGAACTGCTTGCAGGGAGGCTGGGCCGACCCCATCCCCAGGGCCCCTCGCTGCCGCCGCTGCTGCTGGTGAGCCTCCCGCCGACCCTGATCACCTCTTTCACGTCATCTTCCTGGGAGACTCAAACGTGGGCAAAACGTCCTTCCTACACCTGCTGCACCAGAACACCTTCAACCCTGGGCTGACAGCTACTGTGGGTAAGGGCCCACCTGGGCCGGGGGGGGGGGGGGGGGGGGGGGGGGGGGGGAGGGAAGGGACGCCCAGGGCCCGGGGCTAAGGAGCTGGAGCAGGGCCAGAGAGAGCCATCTCCGAGGAAGCTGCACGTTCTCCTGGCCACCGGCCCTGCATTAGACTTTATTTTATGTGGGCATAATCTTACTCTTACTAATTATCTCTAATTATAGGTAATTTGCTTTGCTGCATTGATCTGATTAGCTTATAATGCGCCCCATCAACAAAGCACCCTGCAATTTAGGGGCCACTGCTGGTTGATGGTGAAAACAAGCAAGTCTCCGCCCACACGGCCTGTGGGCGGGTCGCTGCAGGGTCCCCGCCGCTCCCATTGGTTCAGGATCAGCCACCCCCACCCCCACCCCCGCCCCCAGGCCAGTCAGCCAAGCTCCCGCCGCCGGAAGCTGTCATGGGCAAGTTGAATACTTGACCCAGAACGCGTTTCTACAGCATGGTCAGTTAGTACCCGAGTTCAAATCCCCTCTCTGCCACTGGCTAGCAGTATGAACTTGGGCGAATTATTTAACACCGCTGAGCTCCCAAACCCTCATCTGCATAATGGGGACAAGAGTGCTGACTTCCTAGAATGGTTGTGAGGATTAGTTCAGTCAGTACATGTCAAGCTCTTAGAATAATATCTGGCATGTCATAAGTGCTCAATAAATAGTACTTTTATTGTTATTATTAAGTTTTTAAAAATGTTTTTATTTATTTTTGAGAGAGAGACAGTGTGAGGGGGGAGAGGCAGAGAGAGAGAGAGAAAGAGAATCTGAAGCAGGCTCAAGACTCTGAGCTGTCAATTCAGAGCTCGACGCAGGGCTCGAACCCACGAACTGTGAGAGCATGACCTGAGCCAAAGTTGGACGTTTAACCAACTGAGCCACCCAGGCGCCCCTGTTTTTGTTATTATTATAAGTAAATATTTGCTAATGTCTAATTCAGTGGCCCTGCAAATGAAATGCCGCCAAACACAAAGAGTCCTCTACCTAAAAACGCTGGGATATATGACCCCTTGGCACTGTCTAGAGCCACAGAAACTTGAGCTCGGGAATGAAGAGAAGACCCACTTAGGCACAAAGACGGAGGTGATCCGCATGTTCATGCCAGGCAGGGTGTAGGCTGACTGGGGACCAGTGCCAGGCCAGTGAGTAAATGACAGCCTTCATGAAAAAGAGGCTCTGAGACAAGTTCTCAGACTGTTTTCTAAGAATCCTCACCTGGGGAACCAGTTAAAAACGCAGTGTCCTCGGTAATAGGGAACTCATAGCTGGCCTGGTTTGATGCTAAGCACAGTCACAGGGTCTGCAAGGACAACTTTATTATTTTTTTTGACAATCTTTTTGCGTTTTTATTTACTTTTGAGAGACAGAGAGAGACAGAATGAAAGCGGGGGAGGTCCAGAGAGAGAGAGGGAGACACAGAATCCGAAGCAGGCTCCAGGCTCCGAGCTGTCAGCACAGAGCCCCATGCAGGGCCTGAACACACGAACTGTGAGATCATGACCTGAGCCAAAGTCAGACGCTCAACCGACTGAGCCACCCAGGCGCCCCTGTAAGGCCACCATTATTAATCACTGCATTATCGGTTACTGACGACCTACGGTGCACAAGGCTCTTACATCCCTCATTCCTTACAAAAGCCCTCCCTGTATAACTGGTCTGCCTCCATTATTATGTGGTAAGAAGGTCCCACAAAATTCAATCGATAAAAACAGGATGCACGATTGTAAACAGCAGGACACGCGCACCGCTAGGCAGCTTGGGAGCTTTCTGAGAGCCAGGTGGGTGACCGGAATCTGTCCCAGTGCCAGCTGCGATTTGGTGCCCCCTGGTGGCTACCATCCATCTGGCTTCATTATCGATGGGGAGGATGCTGGTTTCCTCAGTCTAGAACATTTCCCGTTCTCACCCCCTCTCAGAAGGTAAGGGCTAGGTGGAGGACTAGAGCCAGAGCCAAACGGGCTATGTCTGAATGCGCGTTTTTGCCAGGCTTTTCCATATCCCCATTTTACAGATGAGGGGAGCAGATCATTGAAGACCTGGTTAACTTTCCTGCCCTCGCTGGGCCCAAAGTTCATACCCAGAGTCTCCTGCCTTCAAAGCACGTGCCCTACCCTCTTCTGGGTTTTACCCTCTCCTGGGTTCAGCCTTACTCTCTCCCTGGGGAGATTCCTTGGAAAGAAGAGAATTGTTATATTCTTAATGTAAATAGCAGATTCCTTGGGAAGGAGATAACTGTTATATTGTTAACTGTTTATGTGGTTGTGTTATAACATGTTTGCGGGACAGTATGGGGACCAAATGGGTGGGCTGAAGAAAGGATGGGCAGGGAGGCAGGACAGTGGGGGGAATGGGGGAGTTATGAAATGTGAGGAATACTTGTTAAGAGTCGTTCGTAGGTTACATGGTGGGTATTTAAGCCGAAGCTGGATATTATCACCCGGGGTTGGATTAGACAATCTCAGAGTTCCTGCAGACCCTGGGCTTCCCAAGACTTTCAGGAAATAGGGCAGGAAAAAGAAGTGGATGCTTCAGACTTCTGCATCACCATTTTGTAGAGTCCGGTTGCCCAGGCGGTCACCTCCTGTGGAGAGCATGGGTGCTGGGGACAAGCGGTGGTCTGTGGTTCTGGCTGCCACCAGGGACAGCAGCAGGCGCTCCTGGAGGTCACCGTAAGCTCAGGGCTGGTATGAAGAGGGACTCCTTTCCTGAGCTGGCCTGGGGCCTGCAGTGGGCCTGAAGGGTGTGGGGATAGGGACACAGAAGCCCCTCTCACTCATCCCCTGCTCTGCCTGATTTCCTTGGGAAGTAGGGGTTGACAAGAAGGTATACCCCAAAGCTTCTACACTTCCCTGGGATTTCACTATTACCTTCATATTTCCAGGGACAGAGGGGGGTCTGAAAGCCCGACCACACAGTGGGTGGAGCTGGGAAATGTGAAGGGCTAGGGCTCAGGGAGATGAGAATAATGACAAGGGGCGCCTGGGTGGCTCAGTCAGTTAAGCTTCCGACTTCGGCTCAGGTCATGATCTCATAGTTCCTGAGTCTGAACCCCGTGTCAGACTCTAAGCTGGTAGCGCAGAGACTGCTTGGGATTATCTCTCTCACTCTCTCTGACCCTCCCCTGCTCACACACGCTCTCTCTCAAAATAAATAAATAAATATTAAAAAAAAAAAAAGAATAATGATGAAAATGATCGCCTCTCAAGCACCCCCTCTGGAAACTGGAGTGAGCCTCAGACATAAGTCATTTAATCCTCCCAACCACTCTGCAAGGTGGGTCCCTTTGTTTTATTTAAAATTATTATTATCTTTTTACAGATAGTTATTTATTTATTTATTTACTTATTTTAAGTGAGCTCTATGCCCAACGTGGGGCTTGAACTCATGACCCTGAGATCGAGAGCTGCATGCTCTCCCAACTGAGCCCACCAGGCGCCCCGGCGTGGGTCTTTTTAAGTTGTCATCTTGCGGATGAGGAAGGGAGGCTCAGAGAGGTAAAGTGACTTGCCTGGGGTCACACGGCCAGTACAGCAACAGAGGGTGGACAGCTCACAGCCCAGTCAGGCATCCCTGAAGGCAGTGCTCCTTCCACCCTCCTCCGCTGCCTGTTTCTACCCTGCTGTCTGGTTGAAGGGGGCAGATACATGCCATAATTAGGACGGAAACAGGGAGTATTCTAAAAACAAAATAACGAAACTGGCTTTCGTGGGTGCCCCGAGGAATAAACATTGCTGTACAGTTGGGAAGACAGATACGTTCATAGAGGTCAGTACAGTGCAAGGTACCTCAAATTGGCACCGACCGCCAGGGCATGGGAGTGCAGTGGGGGCAGTGACCCCCGCAGGCTAGGTGCTCAGGAAAGGCTCCCTGGAGGACGGATGGGATTCGGAGAGCCGAGGGGAAGCCCGGCAGCCTGGAGGCTGGTACTGGGGACAGGTGTTGGCTGGAAGTCCTGGGGATGGTAATTCCAAAGCGGACCTGATGCCCTCTGTGTGTCCTAGGAGTGGATTTTCGGGTCAAAACGCTGCTGGTGGACAACAAGTGGTTCGCACTGCAGCTCTGGGACACGGCTGGCCAGGAGAGGTAACGGGCGCCGTCTAAGTTCGTGATGTCAGGGGGCCTGAGATACAGAGGGGTGGGGGGCAGCCCTGACCTTGAGGAGTCCAACATAGGCGAGAGACAATCAAGTGCATAAAAGGGATCCAGCCCCTAAGGATTTAAGAGGTCGGGGAAGGAGAGGTGAGTGAAGCCCCAGTCGGGTAAGAGGGGTCAGGAGACCCAGAGGCCCCTCGGCCTGTCAGGCAGCGGGGAGGGCCATCCCAGCTCGGCCCTCAGGGGCAGCCGCCCAGTCACCTGTCCTGAAAACGCTGGCCTGCCACTTTCCAGTGAGACAGCAGTGGTCAAAACTTAAAAGGCACACCTTCTGGGGCACCTGGGTGCCTCCAGTGGTTGAGTCTCTAACTCTTGGTTTCGGCTCTGGTCGTGATCCCACAGTTGTGGGATCAAAGCCCGCATCGGGCTCTGCCTGGAGCATGGAGTCTGCTTGGGATCCTCTCTCTCTCCCTCTGTCCCCCTCCCCTACTCATGCTCTTTTCTCTCTCTTAAAAAAAAAAAAAAAAAGAAAGCACATCTTCTTTGACCCAGCAGCTCCACTTCCAGAAACTTATTCTGCTGATAAACTCAGACATGACTGTAGTATCACCATGTTCAAAATGACTGAAACGTCGGGAATCGTGGCCCAGCTGAATCAGTTAGCATCTCTCCACACAATATGTAGGATATTCGGAAGCTGCAAAAGAGATACCCCTTGGGGAGACACCTCCAAGACGCTTTATTAACTGAAAAGGCAAAGTACAGATTACTGAGCGGGAAGGACTCCAGTGAGCCTTTTACACTGTGTTTAACATGTGTGTGCATGTGTGCACGTATACATTTGTGTATATTCATAAAATGCCTCTGGAAACTACGAACCCTGATTGCTTCTGGGGAGGGAGACTGAGTGGCGGCAGGATGAGGGGGTGTTGGGGGGGGACAGACTTTTCACTGGGTACTGTTTGGCACATTTTGAAATCTGAGCCGTGAGGACTGTCACCTATTCAACAAGCACTGCACTGTGAGAAGGAAAACTGTCAGGAAGCAGTCAGAAGCAGCGAAGGCCTAGAGAGGCCCGGGCACGGGGTCAGCCCCCCAGGCCCGGCCTCACGCAGCCCGTCCGGACAGGTACCACAGCATGACTCGGCAGCTCCTCCGCAAGGCTGATGGAGTGGTACTCATGTACGACGTCACCTCCCAGGAGAGCTTTACCCACGTGCGCTACTGGCTGGACTGTCTCCAGGTAGGCAGACAGCCGTTGGGGTTGGCCCCCGTTTGGGGAGCCAGGAGGGAACTTGCATCCTGCCCATACCCCCTTGTAACTCCCAGGGTTACGAATGACCCAACAGACACTTGGGTGATGCGACCCACTGAGGGCATGTGGCTGGATGGGCTGGGAGCATAGTCACACAGAAAAACCACAACCATACAGTACAGCCTCCAAAGCAAACTACTTCCTTTATCTTATGAACATTTCTTTCCTATATACGGTAGCTTGGAGATGTCTTCTTAACACCTGGGAATAGTGCAAGTCCAGTACCACTCTCAGTGATGATTCATCTGCCCACCCATCTCTAGGTCTTTCCCCATGTGCCTAATTGATACATATATAGTGAAATCCTGCAGTATACACCAGCACAGCAGGGGGCTGTGAGGGAGGACAGCTGCCTTCTCTGTAGGAGTTTCTAGTCTAGTTGAAGAGAAGACAGAGAAGTAGGATAAGGCCATACATGAAGGAGGCTGGGCTCTGGGTCTGACAGGACCTCGGTGTGAATCCCAACTACCCTGCCCCAACTCTGTGATCTTGGACAAACGACTCAACTTCTCTGAATTCGATTTTCCAACTTCTCTCATACAGTTGTTAGGATTAATGATATCATTGCCTTTGGCACGACACTGGGTATAGAGTAAGCGCTCAGTAGACGGAAGCTGGTATAGTAGTAGGAGTCATGAAGCCATTAGGAAATGAGCCAAGCCAGCCTGTGTAATCAAGGCACGGGCGGGACAAGAGGGGTGTGGGTGGGAGCAATCCTGGAAGGCTTCCTAGAGGAGGTACTTTTGAGGCTGGCCTTGGAAAATGGCTGACCTGCCCGCAGGCAGAGAGGAGGGGCAGACTCCCTGTAGATTGAAGGGAAGATTGGAGGGTGTGGGAAGGGTGTGGAGTGGGTGTGACATGGAAAGGTGGCCATGGGCTGAGGGGAAAGGTGTGCAGTCAGCTTCCTGGAGGGCGGGGCGCAATCCACCCCGCGCCTGGCCCACCACAGCCTGCTCACCGTGTGTGTCTGAGGTAGTATATTTCACGTGCAGGACTCGGGGTCCGATGGGGTGGTCGTCCTTCTCCTGGGAAACAAGATGGACCGCGAGCAAGAACGGCAGGTGTCCACTGAGGCCGGGCAGCGGCTGGCCCAGGTGAGCAGCTGGGCGTCAGGCCCTCACCCAGCCTGGACTGGAGGTCCGGGAACGGGCCACCCTGGCCCGGCTAACTGAGAAGGACCCATGGCCCGTTCCCGCCCCTGCCCTGCCGGAGGCCAGGTCAGCCTGTCTCTGGCCCACCCTGTCCTTCGGCCCAAACATGAGGCTGTACTGGTGGGCATGACATTGACCCTCACGTGGAACCAGCAGTTCCCCACACAACGTTCTGACCTATATAAAAATATCTTCAGAGTAAAGAAAGGTTTTAAAAGCTTCACTTAGAATTCCCAATCAAATCTTAATTTTCTCTCTGGTCTCTAATTAACATAACATTCCTTCTAATTTATTCTATCTTAAGACTCAAATTCTTCCCCGGCAAGATGGCATCAAAAGCCCCACCACCAGACAGTGAATACTATTTATTTACGAATAGAACTTGACCACATTCCAGAAACTCTGGAGAATAATAAAGAAGGGGAAAAGAACCCACCCCTTGCCCCACCTCTGCTACTACCCCTCTTGGCATTTCCACGTTGTATTTCCTTCCCCTTCTCATTTCTCATAATCATGAGGTCATCACTATGGCTCCTGGTTGGCGGGAATTTTTCCCTCTTAAATGTAGTGGCTCATCTCTTTGACATGGTAATTCCTCGTCTAGCAATTTATCCTAAGGAAAGAATCAGGAATAATAATCCCTAAGAGAATAGTATAATGGATACCCGCGTATAATGTATAATCAAGAATGTTTATGTGAGGATGTTTTTTACAGTATTATTTATAAGAACAGACATTTGGCAGCGGGTGGTGGTCAAATCGCGGAGGTTCATGGGAAAGGCTAGCATTTGCCATTAAGAATCCTGGCCCAGAAAAATGTTTGAGGGTGTGGAGGAAATGCTTACCATACAACGCGAAGTCAGAACAGCTGCTCTTCTGAATCTGGCGAGGTTGCTGATACTTGACTGGGGCCCGCCCAACTAGCCATTGCATATAGTTTGATCTAACAGTACGATGACATTTAGCCCACCCTACCCCCAGTCAGAGGGTTACGTAAAACAGAGCGGAAAGATATATATCAAATGCTAACAGGAGTGGCTTGTAGTTTGCACCTATACTTTTTAAAAAATGTTTCTTCATTTTTGAGAGAGTGTGAGCAGGGGAAGGGCAGAGAGAGAAGGGGAGGGAGGATCCCAACTGGGCTCTGTGAGGACATCACAGAGCCCGACGTGGGGCTTGAACTCACGAACCACGAGATCATGACCTGAGCCGAAGTCAGACGACCAATAGACTGAGCCACCCAGGCGCCCCTGCACTGACCCTTTTTGAAGGCTGTATTTTCCAGTATTTCCCCCATTGGATATTTTTGAAATAAAAAACTCCCACAGAACTAAGGGTTTAAAATGTCCCTGGGTGGGGCTGGGGGGGCGCCTGGGTGGCTCAGTTGGTTGAGCGTCTGATTTTAGCTCAGGTCGTGACCTTGCCGTTTCCTGGTTTGGACCCCTGGGCTGACAGCTCAGAGCCTGGTGCCCGCTTCACATTCTATGTGTGTCTGTCTCTGCCCCTCTCCTGCTTGTGCTCTCTCTCTCTCAAAAATAAATAAATAAACATTTTTAAAACATGTCCCCAAGGACATTTCTCCACGCTGGGACACATGCTTTCCGCCATTGCTCTGTGGGCCGCGGAACATTTCCGGGGTAGTATCTTCGAGATGGCTGGCTAGGTTGGAGGGCCAGTGGGCAGGGCCCAGGCTGGGACCAGGGGCCGTGCAGAGAAAGGGCTGCCTCACTTGATGAGGTTGGCCTAGGGCCGTACTGGAGGGGACTCTGATGGCCAAGGCTCGGGTGGGGGGTCGGCCATCAGTGGGCTCCCCCAGGGCACCCACACCCCATCTGTCTGCAGGAACTGGGAGTCTCCTTTGGGGAGTGCAGCGCCGCCCTAGGTCACAACATCCTGGAGCCCATGGTGAACCTGGCCCGGTGAGTGCCACCCTGCTACTTGCCACCCACAGTCCCCTGGGCAGCCTCAGACCCCTCCTGAGGGAAGGGAAGGCCCGCCCTGAGGAAGGACCGTGAAAGCACAGGGCTCACCCTCTGGGAAAGGACAGAGAGCACTGTGCAGAGAGTCCGACTCCAGCGCTACCAGCCCCATTGACTGCATCACCTCCTGAAAGTCTCACGTGCCCGCTCTGAGCCTGGGCTTTCTCCTCTGTGCAGTGTGGTGGGAAAGAGAGAGTCACTCTCCTGCTCCTAACCTTCTAGTAACTTCCACTAGATTTAGAATAAAATCCAGATGCCTCGCGACGGTTTTCATCATCTCCAGCGCTGTCTCCCCTGTGTGCGTGTGTCCACATGCCCACGTGTGCACTCACTCAGCTCCAGCTGTTCAGGGGCTAGGGGAGGGGACCCTCCCTGACTGCTCTCCATCCCCCCCATTATGCTGGACCCCTGCCCTCTGTTTGTGTCTTTTGAAGCCCTTCTTGGGGCGCCTGAGTGACTCAGTCAGTTAAGCGCCCAACTCTTGATTTCGGCTCAGGTTATGGCACAGTTCGTGAGTTCAAGCCCCATATGGGGTTCTGCGCTGATATGTGGAGCCGGCTTGGGATTCTCTTCCTCTCCCTCTCTCTGTGTCCCTTCTGCTCCCCCGCTTGCGCTCTCTTGGTCTCTCTCAAAATACACAAACTTAAAAAAACCCTTCCTGACAAACTGTAATTACACATGCATTGGTCTGTTTCCTTGCTGCCGTCTGCCTCCTGAACTTGACCCTACCTCCAGGAGGGCAGGGCCGAGCCTGTTTGGTTCTGCCCCTCCCTCCGCACACAGGAAGTGCCCTATAAATGAATGAAATAGGTAAGGCAGACGGGGTACCAGACCGGATGATCTGGAAGCCACTTCTCTGACAAAGCAGCCGGGCAAGCTTGCGAAACTACACGCACACTGTCTGAGACCACACTGTGATGTCTCTGACCCCAAACGGCTCAACGGCTTCCCCCTCTGCTGGAGAACAAAAGCCCGGGTTCCTGAACACAGCTCCCAGGTCCCCTGTTGTCTACAAGGCTTCTTTCTGGCCCTTCAGCCATCAGGCTTTGTGAGCTGGCGCTGTGGTCCCCGCACAGTGAGCACACGCTGGGCGAACGAATGGACAAATGAGCTGCCTTGATTTCCCCAATCCCCAGCTCTCTTTTGACGCCGAGCTGTTGCCCCCTGTTCCCCTTTGCAGCTAGGGAACCCGTGTACGCTGCTGGGTCTCACTTCTGACACTGCCTCCTGTCTCCCCAATCCCTCGAGAACCCGGTGTGAGCTCCCTCTGCGTGCTTCCCCATTCCTGGGTTCCGACAGCCGCTTCTCCTCTGTCTCCCTTACTACTCAAGGCGAGGACGGGCTGGCTTCGCTGTCCTATTCGGAGTCCCTTGCACAGAGCCTGGACACAGCGGCCTGGAAAGAATGCCAGGAAAGAGACAGGGGGCAAAAGTCTCTGTAGCCCCATTTTTCTGGCGACATGTGGAAAGCAGGACAAGAGCAGAGCGTGGGGGTGGGGGAGAGATCTCAGGGGGGGCCATCCCCCAACCCCACAGCTGCACCCGCAGGCCCCCCCTCCCCACTGCCCCTGGAAGGTGAGACAGAGGACTGATGTTTGGCGTCATCACACAGGTCACTCAAGATGCAGGAGGACCTCCAGAAGGATGCGCTGGTGGAGGTGACGCCCAAGAGGCCACCGAAGAGAGCTGGGTGCTGCTTCTGACCTTGTGGCCGGGACCAGACGGCACCCCGTGGGTCTCCTGCTCCTCGGCTCCTGTCCCCCCTGTCTGGACACAGCAACGACAGACACGGCCAGCTCAGTTCAGGAAAACGGTCCTCAGGTTAGGCCTCGGATCCCAGGGAAGGGCTGCACTAACGCTGCCCTTTGCGCTCTGAAAAGGATTTTGCTGAGGCGCTGGTGGTGGTGGCGGCGAAAACTTTTTACAGAAAGGAAAAGTCTAGAAAAATGAAGGAACGAAAACACACTGCGTTGCTGGCCACACATCTCTGGGTGGTAAAATTGCAGGGTGAATGTGTGGAGGTGTTATTTCCCTTTTTGTACGTATTTGTATTTCCAGATCTGCAGCGACTCGGTACTCTTTATATCATCAAAAATAAACATGAGCGCTAAGGAGAGGGCAAGAAACTTCCCGGAGAGCTTGCTTTGAGGCTGATTACTAATGGATACAGCCTGTTAATGACAAAATATTCAGGCAGTCCCCCTGTTCCGTGCCCGCCACAGCTGGCGAACCTTGTCCCGTGCACCGCTGTTTGCAAGCATGAAGTCTCTTCCGGGCAGAATCCAATTCTGGAGAAAAGAGCAATGTTCTGAGGGCCCCTGATAAGGCCCGTTCCTCCCGCCTTCCTGAGCCGCAGCCCCACTCCCTTCCCCCAAGACGCTCTCTAAGGGGTTGTATTCAAGGATCACCTGCTCTAATGCCAAGAGGTCGTCTGGTGCAGCTCTCTGCCCTCAGGTGTCGGTCTCTGGGCTCTCGAGGTCCAGCTGGGGCGTGGCTGGGCCCGGGGGACAGCAGAGACCAGGTGCGTGTCACTCGTGGGCTCCTCTTTGGAGCTTTTGTAGGAATTCCCAGAACTGCATAGCATTTGCCTCCTGAAAGGTACAGCCACCCGGGCTGTGGTCTTCCGTGCCCTTAAGGGGCTTCCTTGGAGAATCTCAGGGAGACGGCCCCTCAGTGTGGGACTATCTCCCGTCACATATGTTTGCCGCCATTGGTGTCCCCGTCATCTTCCTGTTAACTGCAGTGGTGCCCACCACGTCCTGCAGGCCCGCGTGGGAAGGATGCAGGATGTGTGATGATGACTTTGTGGTGCTTCCGTCCTGGGGAATTCCCCAGCTGAATCAGAGGCAACCCCGCTTCCGTGGGGGAGACCAGCAGAGACCATTCAAGAGAAAGAGGCACAGGGGCGCCTGGGTGGCTCAGTCGGTTAAGCGTCTGACTTCGGCTCAGGTCATGATCTCACGGCTCGTGGGTTCAAGCCCCGCGTTGGGCTCTGTGCTGACAGCCAGCTCAGAGTCTGGAGCCTGCTTCGGATTCTGTATTTCCCTCTCTCTCTGACCCTCCCCTGCTCACACTGTCTCTCTCTCTCAGAAATAAATAAAACATTTTAAAAAAGAAAGAGAAAGAGGCACAGAGCAAGAGACTGCAGGAGAGGAAGGGAGGGCGGCAGGTGGAAGACAGAGCTTGCCTACAGGTGGAATCAGGCTCCGATCCTGGCCCCTATCCCTCTGCTCACTTCTGAAAGGGATGCCTCTGCAGCAGTGAGCACTTGTCATTAGGGGCATACAAGTGGCAGTTGGGTGACACTTGGCAAGAGGCAAAAGACTGAGGCATCAGAAGCCACCAGAGATTGGATCTGATGCCCTTAATGGACCCCATTCAATCTCTAGAAAATATGTAGGATGATTTTGTGATCATTTGTGAACTGATTCGTTCTTACCCCCAAAGCCTTCTCTCTTCCTGGATCCTCTCTGTCAGCCCACAGGCTTCTCCCTGCGCTGAGCAGTTTCTAGGCTCTAGTAGGTTCCAAGACAGACAGCCAGACAGGGAAAGGCGGGCTGCAGTGAGTGATGCCAGGCCCGGGTGAGGGTGGGAGCCAGGTCTTGCTGTTGCTAATGGCTCTCTCTGGGGTGTGGGGACCTGGCAGGCACCGACATCTCTCTCCGGTAGGCCAGCGAGTTAATGAGGCAGGCAAGCAGGGTGTGATTCCTGGGGGGGGGCCGCTAGAGCGGATAGAGCCCCTGTCCTCTGGGGGACCCTGCACAGAAATAGCCCCCGGGCCTGTCCCTTCCATCTCAGCTCTGCCCCCGCTGCAGGCAGCCAGCTCTTGTTCCCCAGTGGTGGGGGTGGGGGAGGGAGGGAGTGCTCCAAGGGACCACCCACCTGCCCAGAACCTTCTCTTGGCTTTCGCTGGCTAGGTGCAGAGTGGAGCTGTGGAAGGGCCGCCAGCCTTTCCTGGTGTCGGAGGGCTCCGACTCAGCACACGCAGGGACCTCAGAGCAGCGCGAGGCAGGTAAGGAGAGCAGCAGGAGGGGCGCGAGGTAGATTTCAGAGTGAACTTCCAGGCAAGTGGTGAGTTCTCGGGGCATGTCAGCCAAGCAGGCGCAGGTCACACCTTAGCTTGAGGCTGGTTAGGAAAAGGAGGGTGAGGGCGCCTGGGTGCCTTAGTGGGTGAAGCATCCGACTTCAGCTCAGGTCAAGATCTCACGGTCCGTGAGTCTGAGCCCCGCGTCGGGCTCTGTGCTGACAGCCTGGAGCCTGGAGCCTGCCTCAGATTCTGTGTCTCCCTCTCTCTCTGCTCCTCCCCTGCTCACACTCTGCCTCTTCCTCTCAAAAATAAACATTTTTAAAAATTGTTTTAAAGAGAAAAGGCGGGTGGGACTGGGCTGACAGGGCTCAGGATGTGGAGCGAGAAGGGGAGGGTGGGGCGGGGGACAAAATGGAGTGTGGACAGAGGTGTCAGGGAGGAGAGCTTCTTGGAGCTGAGGGTGCTCAGGAACAGAACAGGCATCATGTGCAAAGCTCCTGCTTCGCGCCAGGCACCGTTCAGAGCACTTCGCTCCTATCACCCCGTTCAACCCCCCCATCAGCCCTACGAGAGGGGCTTGTGCTTGCCCCCACTTCGCAGCTAAGGGAAGTGAGGCGTAGAGGGTGAGTCCGCAGCCACACAGTTGGAGGGTGGGGCAGTGGGTTTTGAACCCAGGCTCTGGCAGCCATGAGCTTCGTCATGAAGTCCCGGAGCCTCTTATCAGAAGGTACGGATGCTTAGGTGGAGCCGGGGCTGGGGCCTGGACCCTTTCTTTCCCTCCCCTCCTCTCCACTTCTGTCACTGGCAGCAGGCCTGGGCCAGGTGAAGGAAATAAGAAAGGAGGACAGGGTAGGGAGGAGCTGGGGCTGGTCCCTCGGCTCCTCCCCCTGCAGTCCCTGGAAGGAGCCTGAGACCATGAGTGGAGCGGTGTTGGAGGCGGAATTCACGCGGGCCCCCTGAGGTCTCTTCCCAGCTGCCCTCACGCTCCAGAGACCAAGCAAGTCCCCCAGGCAGGGCTCTGCCGGAGGGGCTCAGGGGACCCCCCGCCCCGCCCAGGCTCTGAGTCAGCTAGCGAGGCGCCTCTGTAGACTCCCCTGCCCCAGTGTAGGAGAAAATGGACAAAAACTCGAATCAGGGCTCTGGGGAGCTATCACCTTTGCTGCTGGATCCCTAGAACCTGGCTCAAGGTAAATACTCAGGGAACACTTATTTATTGAGTGAAGGGGCAAGTCTCTTCCCAAGAAAGCTAGGGATCCTGGCCCGATCCGTGGGGTGGCGGGTGTAGACCGTGGCCCCCTGGGCGGACTCCGTTTCCCAGCCTGGCCTTGGGGGCTCCCATGTCCTGGGCATGTAGGACGCAGTGAGGGTGAACCGATCCGACCGCTGGGGAGCCATGCTCCCCCACCCTCACCAGGTAACCAGCACAGCCATAGAAGTGTGGTCGTTCCCCAGCCGGTCTGCCCCACGGAGTCGTCTGGAATCTTTCAGAAATCCCAAAGCCCAGACCAGTGAAATCACGTCACTGTGACCCATGCATTGGTATTTTTGAAACTCCTCTGGTGACCCCCACGTACAGACAAGCTTGGGAGCCACCAGCAGGGGCTTCACACCTTCTCAAAGCCCTTGCATATCCACTTTCTTACTTGAGCCTCAAATTAAAATCTGCTTATTTCCCCGGCAGGCAAGGTTTTGTTTAAAAATATATATGTGCATGTGTGTGTGTGTGCACACGCACCCCAAATTCATTTTGCACTCCCTTTAGAAATTTTATTTATTTATATTTTTAATGTTTATTTATTTATTTTGAGAAAGAGAGAGAGAGAGAGTGGCTGAATGGGGGAGAGGCAGAGAGAGAGGGAGAGAGAGAATCTCAAGGAGGCTCCATGCTGTCAGTGCTCAGCCCGATGTGGGGCTTGAACTCAAGAACTGTGAGATCATGACCTGTGCCGAAACCAAGAGTCGGATGCTTAACCGACTGAGCCACCCGGGTGCCCCATCCCTGCAGAAACTTTAGAAATAAAGAAGGTTAAAAAAGAGGAAAATGAACAGTTGTAACAGTTACTGGTGACATCAGTTTTATTTTATTTCCTTACTTCTTTACAGTTGAGGAAACTGAGGTAGGGAAACACTAGGTAACTTCCCAAAGTTATGGAGTTACAAAGTAGCCGAGTCGGGATTTGAACGCACCGTGTTGTCCGAGCCTATCCCATCGGGGTGTTGTGAGGTCTCGAGGGACTGATGCATGCCAAGGGCGCCCACTGGACGCAGGGGTCTGTGAAAGGGGGGCGCTCAACAGGGAAGGAGGGCGGCGGCCCTCTGGCCGGTTTCTACACTGTCCTCATGTGTCTGGAGCAGGAGAATGGAGCCTAGGCCGGAGCCCAATGCCACGTTCACGTCCGGGCTTGCAGCGCCCCCTGAGCGACTGCTCCGCCTCATCTTCGCCGGGGTCTGCGGCCTCATCCTGCTGGCGGGGCTGCCGGCCAACGGGCTCATGCTGCTGGTGGCGGGCCGGGCCTCAGGCGCCCCCCGTCCGCTCCTCGCCCTGACCAACAGCCTCATGGTGAACATCACGCTGTCTGACCTGCTCTTCCTGGCTTGTGTCGTGCCCGTGCTACTGCTGAGCTTCCTGCAGCCCGACTGGTGGCTGGGCCCCTTTGTCTGCACCGCCAGCCAGGCCACCAACAACGCCACCATGTTCTGTACCTTCTACAGCATGGTGGCTACGGCTCTTCTGCGCCACGTGGCAGTGGCCTGGCCTGACGTGGCCCTGCCATCCGGCCGGGGCGCCCGCCTGCTGCTCTGTGGGGCCATGTGGGGCCTGGGCCTCACGGCGTCATTGCCTAACTGGCTGTTCCAGAGAGTGGTAGTGGAGGAGGGGGCCGTGGGGGCCGTGGGGGCCCCGGCCTGCCTCTTGCTCCTGAGCCCCGCCCAGGCTTCCTGCTACTTCAGCTTGCTGGGCGCCCTGGCCTTCCTGCCCTGCATGCTGGGGCTGGGCTGCTCTTTTAGCCACGTGGGCTGGCTCCTGTGGACACGGCCTCGTGGCCCCGGTGGGGAGAGCGTCCGGGAGCACCAGGAGAACACAGGGCTCATCCTTGTGGTGCTGGTGGTCTTCGTGCTGATGTGGGGGCCCTGCTCCGTGCTGGGCTACATGGCAGCCGTGGGTGGCCTGCCTGCCACGCCCGTGGCTTTCGTGGCATCCAGCCTCTGCACCATCCTGGCTTACTCCAACTGTGCCGTCAGCCCTGTGCTCTGCTTCTACCTCTCCCGCCCCTTCCGGGAAGGGCTCAGGGACCTCTTCTGCAGGCCAACGGCAGCCAGGCACCCTGGGGATGCAGGAGGGGCTGGTATGGTGATGGAGAGCATCTAGCCTGGCCTCAGGAGGCCTATGAGGTCTGCCGAGGGTCTGAGAAGGTAGGCTGATGGGAACGCGGAAAGTCAAGAGAGGTGGGAAGGCCCTTAGTGACGTTAGAGCCTGTCCCCTCCATTCTCCCAGTGGGGAGCCTGAGATCCAGAGACAGCAGGTGGCCCAGCAAAGGTGACACAGCTACTAAAATGGCAACTAGGTTGATGCTCTCATTCCACCTGGGGACTCAGATGCCTGTAGGCTCTACTACTTCCTAGGGGTATGACCTTGCACAAGACCCTTAACCTCTCTATGGCTCCATTTTCTCATCTAGGAAGTGGGATGGTGGTAGTACCTTCTTCGTAGGGTGGTTGTGAAGACACACATAACACATAGAAAGTGCTCAGAAGAACACCTGCTCTTTCCTAAGTGCGTGCGAGTGTCAGTCATCGCGATTATTAGCATCTTCATTTTATTTTATTGTTCAGGGGCATTCAAGGTGAGCAGACAAGAGGTCACTTCCAAAGGCAGAGCAGTGTTTAGAGGAATGACCCGGGGAATGACCGTCCGGGGTCCTTGATCCTGAAGTCCTGTGGAGTAAGGGGGGTGAGGAGGGGAGCCAGCTGCATCCTGGGTGGGAGCCGAGGCCAGGAGAACCTTCCAGGGGCCTGCCCTCTCCTAGATCCATCACACAATCTCTCAACCCGACAAGAGAACACAAAGTCAACCTTTGTGCCATGAATTTCTCAGTGCCCTCCTTTCTTCTCTGTGGTTTTCTTTTGCTCTCCAGAGAAACTGAAGGTCCCCACCTCTCCTACCCAACCTCCTCTGAGAAGCTCCCAAACTCCATGCCCTGCCTCTGGCCTCCCGGTGGCAGGCCTCAGACTTCTGTGTTAGTGGGGGAACAAGGAGGGTTGTCTCTACTTAAAGCCCCAAGACAGAATGTTCAACATTTTCTACTTGGTAACAGTGTTACAGCTAAACACACACACACACACACACACACACACACACACACACACACACTGACTCCATGGTCAAAAAGCTTTGGAAACATTGGGTTGGACCAAGTTAAACTGGTCTCTTTGCTGCAGGACTTATCAGAGCCTTGAATGCCCCAAAGGCCACTGGGATTTGCTGAGAGGGGCTCAGAGTAGGCAGTTCCCCAAATTCAATACTGGAGAACCAGTGTTTCCTGGAACACACCTTGCAAAATAACCCAGGAGAGAAGCTCCAGTGTCAAGTGCAGTAAAGATGCACTTCCCTTTGGCCCCTTGGGCAGTGGCCCGGAGACTTGATTCCCCTGCCAGGCAGGCATCTCCGTTTGATGCTTTCCCACAGACGTCCAAGGTGAGGCAAAATGGGTCACTGGTTATGGGAACTTCCATCTTCCCAAGCTATGACCCCACCCGGTTCCCACTCCAAGCGTATCGGAATGCAAGTCAGAGGGGGACCTAATTATAGGGACAGCCATGAATCAGCTCTAATTTACTATAAAATCATAAGAAGTAAATAAGCCCCAAACTTTGGTATAATTAGTACCAAATTCCTTGTGATGTGCAGACTGGGAATGGCTGGCTGGAGGGCTAACCTGAGAGTGAGCTTGCCCAGAGGAGGGTGGAAGTCCCCTTTCCCTGCAATCCTGGGCTCTGATGGCCTCAGGGATTGATCTACGAAGAGCGACATGGAAGAGAGAGGTGGGGTTGGCTGCGCTCCTACAGTGCACCCTGTGCATGTCACACGCTTCATGTGTGTGTATCCACAGGTCCCCCAGTCTGTCTGCACAATAATCCTGCAAAGGAGAATGGTCCCCCATAACAGGGGCAGTAACGCGTCCTGGGCACGTGGTCCATGGGAGCTGTCCAGGCTGTGCCGGGAGCGCCCCCTCTGGTGCCCACAGACCCCAGCCCCCCCTCCCCCCCAACACACTGGCTTGGCAGTGGTAACCCAGAGCTGTAGGATGCCCTTGCTTGTGCTCCAGGGCACGGGTTGTGCTCGGAGGGTACAACTGTGTGAGTCAGTGTCTCCAAACTTAAGCAGGGCCTGGCGCCTGGGCTCGGGAAACACTTGCGGGATGAGTCAGTGGGTGATCAAATGTAATAAGGGGAGCCACCTGTTTTTGAGAATAATCTGATCAGGTTACTCACCTCTCTCACTGGCTCCATTTCACTCAAGAGTGACACTGAAGCCCCGACCATGGCCTACAAGGCCCTATGCATTCTGGATTCTTCACCACCACCACCCCATCTCCTCTTCTGAACTATCTCCCCTCTTAATGCAGCTCCACCCACACAAGCCTCCCTGCGTCCATCACACCAAGTATGCTCCTACCTCAGGGCCTTTGCACTTGCTGTTTCTGCTACTTGGAGCCCTCTTGCCTTGGATACCATCATGCCTCCTTCTCTCATTTCCTTAGGGCTCATCTCAGCCTTCACCTCCTCAGAGACGCCCTCCCTGACCACCTCATTGAAGTATCGCCTGTCCCTCTCTAGCCCCTTATTTTCTGTTATTTGTCTTTGTAACTTGTATCACCGCATGAAACAAAGATATCTACCTATCTGTGTATGTGCTGACTGGTTTCCCCTGTCTTATTTGTGTGCTTGTTGTAAGCTCCATGTGGAGACAGGCCCTGTGTTTTGTTCACTGCTGGATCCTCAGTGCCCAGCACAGATCCTGGTGCCTAGTAGATGTTCAGTAAATCTTCATTAAACATAAGAACGGAAGAAAGACCGAGAGGAGAAGCTGGGCTCTGTCAAACAGCAATGTATTTGCTATTTTTCACAGAAGAAAGGAAAACAAGAAACTCTAGTAAAAGAACCAAATTTACTCCAGTTTAAGGCAAATTCCACACAGAGACTGTCTCAGAGACGGGCACGGGACCAGACAGTGTAGAAACACCACCATCATGCATGACGGGGAGGGGAGCGGTGCTGGGCAGCAGACAGGGCGGGGGGCTGGGGTCCCCGTGGGGGGTGGGGATGTGCAGTGGGCTGAGGCGCCCCATGCTGCAGGAGGGGCTGGCATGCATGACCCGCTCCCCATGCGGGCAAAGGCCGGGCAGCTGGCTGGGCCCGGGGTGAGCTCACCCGTCTCACCTTCCCCACAGCAGGGGCAGGAGCTTGGGCTCAGACACCAGAGCCCGGGGCTGGTGGATCTGGGGTGACCGGATGGGAACAGGGGGACCCTAAGGGCCAAGACGGCCTGGAGTAAGGGGTCGCCCTGCCAAGGAGTGGGATGGGGGAAGCTGAGGATGGCGTGAATGGACTCTCAGGACAGCAGAGCCGAAGGGACACCTGGGACCCTCTGGCCAACCCTCTTGCCTTACAGATGTGGGAACGGAGACCCGGGAGGCCGGGGGGCCTTGCTGGGGTTCCCACAGGCAGCGGCTGCAGGCAGGGCTGGAACTCAGGACTCCTATCTCCTATCCCCGTGGGTCAGAGGGGCAGTGTGGGAGTGCGGGGGCTGGACTGCTTCGTCCAAGGCCTCCCGGGGTGGGGGAGGGGGCAGAGGCCTGGCCTCCAGGGCCCTGGGTAGCTCCGGCAGGAGGAGGGGATGCCTGGGGTGGGGGGTCGGCTGAGAGGTGCCCGTGGGTCTTCACCCAGGAAAGGCCTGCGGATCTGTGGATCTAAAACCAGTGTCCTTCTGGGCTTGAGAGGCACCAGAAGGGACCCTGTGCCTGAAAGGCCTCCATTCCCAGCCCACCATGTGGGCTACGGCCGACCCTCACCGCCTCCCCTGCGTGGGTCTGCAGGGCCCCCGTAGCATGCAGGCGTCCCTGGGAGGGGTCACGTGCTCAGGCATCCTGCGAACCCATCAGCTCACAGGGGTCACGGGGAATAGGGATGGACGGGACGGATGCCGGGATAGGAGGGCAGGGCCAGGCACAGAAACAGACACGCAGGAGGAGGAAGGCCCAGCCCAGGCTTCAGGATGGGACTGCCCCGGTGTGGGCCAGTGGGCCGAGGGGGAACCTCAATTCTCCCGATTGTTAACACCTTCCTGGCTGGGCCAGAACTGGGGACCAGGGGGAAATGAGAAGGGCGGGGGCCCAGAATATCACCTCCGCCATCTGAACCCTCCAATTCCCCAGGTTGGGCCCTAAGGCTAGGAAATTAGACAGGTGCCTTCAGAGGTCCCGCCCCCTGCAGGCCTCCAGGCACACCCATTACAAAGGCTGGGCAGGGCAAGTTGCCAGGGGGTCTGGCGACCCTGCCTATACTTCCACCTTCTACTTCCACCCTCCACCTGCCTCCCTGGGCCCCAGCCCCCGGCCTGTGGCAGGGAATCGCCCTCAGATGTGTGTGTGCAGAGGGGAAGCAGGGGGCGTGCGGGCCGGGGACTGTGGGGGCGAAGGCTCTGGAGCTGCGGGTGGGGGGCGGGGGCGGATGCCCTGTGACTTCATGTAGGACACCAGCTGGTCCGGGATCTCGGCCAGCACGTCGCGGGCCAGGCGCGCCATGCTCAGCACGTGGTTGCCAGTGCGGTCCACATAGTCCCTGAAGGGCACGAACTGGCCAGAGGGAAGGCAGGCTCATGCAGGGCCTCGGGCTGGACCACAAGCCCCACACCTTCAGGCCTGGGGCCTGCTCCCATCCCTCCTCAGCCTCTGCCCGCCCCCCGCCCCCCCCCCGCACTCAAGCCCTCTCCGTGGCAGCCCCTGTTCTCACATGTACTGAGCACAGTGCCCAGCCTGGAACACCACCAAGCAAAAGCACTTCATCTTTGAAGTTCTGCTGCCAAGCACAGGCACTTAGCTGGTACTCAGGAAATACCGTGTGAATCCCCTGGCTTCTAAAAGCGGGCCTTCCCATCTCCCCCAGCCTCTCTTTCTTTGGCTCTGCCTCTCCTCTTCCCTCTCTGGGTGGATACCTAAAGTCAGGCCCCTCTGGCTTCCTCCCAGGCCACTGGAGCCACCCCCAACCCCTCGAGTGCCTCAGCTCACTCCTGGCTCTAGGCCTTTCTATACAAGGGGAGCCCCTCCCAGATTGCCCCAGCTCTGATGCCCAGCCTCCTATCTTTGGTCTCTACCCCTGGAATGACCTCCTCCTCCATCCCATCTTTTTTTTTTTTTTTTTTTTTAATCCGGGGTTTCTGGAGAATGTCGGTTTTTATTCCCAATCTCGGAAACACTAGGAACTCAGTCTGCAGGAGATTCACAGACAGAAGCGCTTACTAAGGTGCTTTCTGAGGCTTGACGGGGCAGGGACACCCTGAGGACAAAGACCTGTCTGCTCATGACACCTGCCATCTTCCATGGGATGTTGAGACGCGGCTGCAATTAACCATTAACCGAGCGAGCTTGGTCGGTCCCAGAGGGCGGCAGTGCGCTACAGACACCTCCCCCACCCTCCCCTTCAGGCGGTTCCCCATCTCACTGGGAAGGCAGCCCACAGAAGACAATGGAAAGTGCAAATGTCAAGTGTAAGCACTTTGCAGGAGGCCAGGAGACCTGGGGGCTCAGGGAGAGCGTGGGCAGAGCAGGCTGCTCAGGGCAACCTTCAGGGTGAGAGAGGGGGGTCCGGCTGGGGGAGAAGGGTGACCCAAGGACTGAGTCCTGCTCCCTTCTCTGGTGGCCAGGCCACTCTGGGGCTCCCTCCAGGGCCCCTTTCTGGAGGAGTCTCTAAAAGGGGGGTGTAAGGCCAGCCTGGCTGGAGGGCTCTAGCATTTTCCTTGGAGCAGGCAGGATTTGGGCTTCACCTGCACAATGTCCCGCTCCGCCAGCTTTCCCCGGGAGGAGATCCGCACATCATCGCCATCCAGCTCCACCATGGCTATGAGAGAGGAGGCATGGGGGGGGGGGGATTAATGGGGGCACCTGGGCCTGGCAGGACAGTGGCACTTGTCCCCCAATCCCAGGCCAATCCAAGACAGAGACCATCTGACCAGATCCCATGTTGGGGCTGAGGAAACTGAAGCCAGGAGACAGGAGGAGCCCATCAAGGTGAATCTCTGACTTCCAGCCCCGAGTTCCAGCTCCCCGACCCTCCCCAAGCTCCCAGGGTGGGAGGAGGGAGCAGTGACAGGCCTCCACCCCACAGCCTTGGGACCAGGGTGTGGGTGCACAGCCTGACACACCCTTCCCTGTGCAAACAAACACACCCTGACACCCTGTGCTCCCTCAGACAGTCACACCCACCCATGAGCTCTCACTCTTTGGGGAAGGGTCATTCCCAAGGGCCTGAAGCCTCTGGGGAAATATCTGGGGGGTACAGGGACTTACCGTCGAACTCCGCCTGGCCCACGCCAATGATGATGATGGACATAGGCAGTTTGGCAGCCTGGGTACAGGAAGATCATGGGAAAGGGTAGAAAGGGGTGGGTCAACAGGACAGAAGGAAAGAGAAGAAATGGAACAGAAGGATGGAGACACACAGACACACAGAAGGGCGGGGAGGGGGAAGGACACAGCCAAAGGGAAACCAAGGTGGGGCCCCAGAGAGGAAGAGAGGGTCAAGAGGGGGAAATGGGTCACACGTCTGCTTCTATGAGATACCCCCATCCCTGCTCCACCCTGGGCCTCCAACAAGCAGGACATTTTAATGTGGGCAATTAGGAGTGTCAGCTGGGTGGGAGCCCCCTATACAGGTAGACCACCCAGTAGGGGGCCATTCCTGGGCCTGCCCCACTCTGGGTTGCCACTTGGCCCTGGCCACGCTGGGTTGGGGTCTGGGCAGCAGTCCTGAGACAGGTTAATAAGGGAGCCGCAGGTGTTTAAAGGGAGTGGACCATCTAGGGTGGGTACAGAGCTCATCGGTGGGACCCTTCATTGGCCAGCACCCCCTCCACCCCCCCAAACCCTACTGCCCAGGAAGCCTCCTCCCAAGGGTTTCTCTAAAGCAGCAGGATGGCATGCTCCCCACCCCCCCCTCCCCACCCCTCGGCTCACATTGACGATAGCCTCCTTGGTCTGGGCCATGTCCGAGATGACCCCGTCCGTGATGATGAGCAGCACCGAGTACTGGGAGCCATCCTGAACCGCAGCCGCAGTCCTGCAGGGGGCAGGGGGGCTGCTGTCTGACTGGCCCACTCAGTGCCCCGCCCCCTCCCCCTCAACACCTCGGTGGGAACTAGCCTTTTCGGGGAGGGGAGTCTCTTTAGGGTCAGGGCTCCCTGAAAGGCGGGTCAATGGAAAGAGACGCCCCCTCCCACCTTCCCAAGAGGACGGGCATGGACACGAAAGCTTGTGAGAGGTTGGGGTGGGCGTCTAGGGGCCCTGGCACTCACCTGGCCACGTGGGTGACCACGGGGGCGAAGTTGGTGGGGCCGTAGAGCTGCACGGTGCGCAGGCTGTGGTGGTAGGCCTCCAGGATGCCGTCGATCCCGCAGCAGGAAGGGTTCTCCTGGTTCCCGTTCTGGCGGCAGCGGGACAGGGAGTCTGAGCTCGGGAGGGAGGAGGGGTGGGAAGGAGGGCAGCCGGGTGCTCTGCAGGGGGCCGTACAGCCAGGGAGGGGGAGGCCCGCAGGTTCGGGATCTCCTAGACTCTTTTCTGGTGGTGGGGGGGCGGGGAGGGAGCCCCCAGGGCAATACATGCTCTGGGTGAGCAGGGTCCAAACCCGCTCCTTGCCCCACTCTCTGCACCTGCTCAGACAGCCCCCCTCCCCCAACCAGAGGAGAGAGCGTTGGCTGCTTCCCTCAGGGGCCCTCGGGGCAAACCACTACATCCCAGAATGCCTGCAGGGGCTGAGCAGCTCCGGAAGGGCCAGCAGGGAACCTGTCCTCCCTTGTCCTGTGCCTGGAGAGCGAGCCAGCGTCCCCAGCTCACAGGAGGGAGGGAGAAGAGGTGGCCTGGGAAATCATCCCACAGGTCTGCCATCTCAGCCCCGACTCAGGGAGTTCCTGGAATTACCTGCAGTTGCCCATACCCAGCGCACACCCATTTTACCCTTATTTCTGGGGTCTTGGGGTGGGGGGTAGTTTGACCCTGTCTCCACCCCACCTCTACCTGGGTCCTGTTAGAGAAAGGAGGCCAGACACCACTGCGGGTGGCATCAGACGTGGAGACGAGGTGCCGTGAGCCAGCTGGGGAGTGGGCTTCTGGAGGCCCTGCTACGGGCCCTCTACACACAGTGGGCAGCCCACCCGCCGCAGGGGCTGCACGTGTGTCCCCTCGCCCCAGGCTTGTGACCACAACCCGTGCCTGGCCGGCCCCCAGCCCGTCCTCCCAGGACCTCCTACCAGCGGGAACTCGTGGGACACTCTTCCATCAGGGGGCAGCTTGGCCCCGAAGCCCAGGGCAGGGAACATCTTGTCGCTGTCGTAGTGCTGGATGATCTCACCGACGGCAGTCAGCGCCAGCGCGTAGGCGTTCAGCTGGTAGGGGCTCATGTAGTGCAGGGACGTGGACTGCGAGGGGTTCCCTGCGATACGGCACACAGGGACACGTGCTGGCCTCCACACTCCAAGCACCCCAGGCTCAGAATGCGGGGGGGGGGGTGTCCGAAGGCACCCCTGCATGGATTTCTTTATCCCTGACTCCTTTCTTTCTCTCTTGCCACACCTCCAATCCTTCAGTAACTCCCGGCTGCTAAACCTTCAAAATATTATGCAGAGGCCATGCCTCTTCTCTGCCTCCAAACGGTCCAATGCTCCCATCCTGCCCAGAACCAAACCCTCAGTCCCAACCCCGGGGGGCCCACAGGGTCTGGCCTCCACTTTCCTCCCTCCTGGCCCCCCCGCCACCCCCTCCTATCACCCACTCAGGCCTGGCCCCTTACCACCCCCACCTCAGGGCCTCTGAAATGGCGGTTCCTTCTGGGACACTTCTCCACAAACGTGGACATGGTGTGTGGTCTTCCTGACCAGCCTCCTGAAAATTATAGCCTCCGCCAAGGCTCCTTACCCCTTTTCCTGGCTCAGGTCTTCTCCATAGCCCTTGTCACCACTGATATTGCCCACATTTTACTTATTTATTAATGAGGGGGGGCGGGCTCCAGCAGAGGCCGCCAAGCTATAGATCCTGTCTCAACCTGCGCTAGCTGTGTGCTCTCAGATGGTTCCTTGATCTCTGGGCCTCAGTTCCTCATGAGTAGAGCGGGGATAACAGTCCCACTTCCTGGGACTGTTGTGAGGAGTCACTGGCGTTCTTAGAACCCCCCTCATTGGAATGACAGTCCCCTCCCAGCTCTGACTTCCTTCCACTGTAGAACACGAGGGCCCACCGGAGGAGTCCGAGACCTGGGCTCCTTCTGACAGACACGGAAATGAGCACTGAGCACCGCTAATGGGGGCCCCGACTCCAAGGAAGGTGGTGAAGTTTCTAACAGTATAAAGTTGGGCATTGACGGTGCCTGGAGACTCGGTCATAGCCCGACCCCGGAGGAGGTCAGACGAGGGAAGGGAGCTGGGGCAGCCCGAGCAAGGGTAGGAACTGGGGTTCCCGCCCTCCCTGGGGACCATAGAGCTCTGCTCTGGCCTGAAAGCTGGGCTGCGCAGAGGATGTGAGCTTTGGCCCCACGAGGAAACACTGTTTCTCCACATACTCTCTGTGGCCCAGAGCAGCACTGCCCTGTCCCTGCAGGAAGACTGGGTGTCCTCACGGGCAAGGCTGTGCCCAGGGCCCAGATTAATTGGCCAGTCTGGGGATATACCTTCGCCATCTTGATTACACCTTTGGCTCTCCAGGCCTAAGTACCTTACCTCCTTTGTGGTGAGGATGAGGCCAGAGAATATGGGAGACCTGGCTCCCCACTAGCGCCAACTACCACAGCTCTGAAAAGCCCCCCACCCCGCCCCGGCTCCCCCTCTTCAGCCCCAGCCCCACTCCAGCTCCTCTGCCCATCCCCCCACTCACCATTGGAGGCCGTGAAATCGATGGCCACCGTGAAGTTGATCTGGGTCCTGAAAGAGGAAGAGCAGCAGGGGAGTTAGCTGGGCGGGCAGCAATCCTGCTTCACGGATTGGTGGATTTGAACCCCACATCGGGCTCTGCCCCGACAGCTTGCAGCCTGCTTCAGATTCTGTGTCTCCCTCTCTGTCTCTGCCCCTCCTCCACTTGTGCTCTCTCTCTCTCAAAAATAAACATTAAAAAAAATATATAAATAAATAAAATCTAATTTCTTTTATAAAAAAAGAGACTCCTTATATTTTAGAGCTATATCCTGAAGTATTTGAGGGAATGAAATATGATGTCTGAGATTTGCTTCAAAATAATTGGATGAGGGGTGCCTGGGTGGCTCAATTGGTCAAGGGTCTGATCTCGGCTTGGGTCATGATCTCCCAGTTTGTAAGCTCGAGGCCCACATCGGGATCACTGCTGTTGATGTGGAACCTCTTTCAGATCCCCGCCCCGCCCCTCCCCTGCTTGCACTCTCACTTTCTCTGAAAAATAAATAAACATTTAAATAAAAGAAAAAACTGGGTGAAAGGAAGCTTGCATGTAACAAGACTAGAGTTGGTAACTGTTGAATCTGGGTGAAGGGTACCTGGGGGCTCATTATACCTTCTCTCTACTCGTGCATTTGGAATTTTTCCATAATAAAAAATTTGGTTCTGAGTATTCAGGTTCAGGCTTGAAGCTTTCTGAGGGTTTGGCTGTTCTAGGCTCTGTGCTAGATGCCGACAGAACAAAGCCGACAAGACGGGAGCCCCCGATGAAGTCTAGTCTTGTGGTTCTAGGGGGGATTTGTTTAAAAAGAACATCCCAGGGCCCCACTCAAAAGGATGCCAGTTCAGTTGGTCTGAGATGGGGCCCCAGCATCTGCTTCTTGGACAGGCATTCCCTGCCCTCGTCCATGGATGGATCTGAAGAGGGGGTTCTGGGATCGCAGCTGGGGACACTCTTCTGACAGTCCCCAGGTGGGGTGACATAAGATGAGGCAGGGCTCACTCCATCTGCAGTGAGCACATGGCACCTCTCAGAAGCCAAAGCCCTCTCCCCACCTGACCTCAGATGAGCTGCTGCTCATGGGACCGTCGTCTCCCAAGAAGGATGAAGGACATGGTTAGCAGGAGACCCAAACCAGGATCTGCTGGCCAGAGATGGTTCCAGCCCACGCTCGTTCCCTGTGTCTGCCCCCTCTGAGGGAGATGGAGCCGCAAGGTGGCAGGGGCCTGGGTCCCTAACTGACTGCGTGGAGTATCTCCCCACCCATCCCTGCCCCCCCTCCCCCCATGAGTGAAAAATAAGCCTTTGTACTAAGCCTTGAAGTCACAGGATTATCTGATACAGCAGTTGACCTACCCTATTCGTCTGTTTGTGGTCATGTCTTACTGAGGAAGAGAGAGATCGTGTCCTTGTTAGAGGAAGGGAGCCACTTGGAGGGTAAGAGCTCTGCTCCCAGGGTCACCATCGGGAGGGTTGTTCTGGTCTATGGGACCACGGCTGAGGGACACCGGCGGCCCGGCTCTTTCAAATAAGGGTGAGGGGAGAGGCAAGCCTTATTCCTCAACTGGCCTTCCCCTGTTCTGAGTTCTGAAATGACTCAGGGAAGGAAGGGGCCGGAAAGCAGGCAATTTAGGGGACAGTGGCTCCCTGCAGGCTTGTCTCTCCTGCCTGAGGGCAGAGCAGGGCAGAAGGCAGGTCCAGGTGGGCGGGAGAGGGAGGCCAGAGAGGAGACGATCCCAAGACAAAAGCCTCCATCGGCTGCCTGTCTGGACATGTTCGTAGTTCTCGCTCCCTGGAGCCAGTTCTCTCACTCAGGTCTCTGGGTCTCTGGAGAGGGCGGAGGGAGGTATGGGGGAGGGCCGGGGAGCAGCCAGCAGCACCCGCGTTGAGCAGAAGCCCGGCCTCTGAGGGCTCCTTCTTATGAGCCATCACCCCATCACACTATCACAGCACCCAACCCTTTAACTCCGCTGTCTCCACCTGCATCACACGCCACCAGGTAGCTGTGAGGCAGGCAGGGCCCGGATTATTCATTACTATGGGAGAAACGCGGCATGTGGCGACAGAGGAACCATGTGGCTGGCTGGGCTCGTGTGGCCTCGGGCAACTTATGTAAAATGGGAGATAATCACCCTCCCCTGCCCGCTGTGCTCTGTAAATTGGGGGCACTGTGCAAATGAGAGGGATAAATAGGATGTGGATTGCTTGAGAATTAGCAGGTGCTATGGGATGTAAGTGTGGGGCTGCTTAATGGCATAGAGGACAGGGCAGTTTTGATGGGGAGATGGGAGCAAAGGGCAGGGTCTGGAGTAGGCTCAGAGAAGGGGCGGGATGGGGTGGGGCTCTGGGTGACCGCAGGAGGTATGTGCTCAGTGGGTAGGACGGCTCGCACCCTTGAAACCAGTTTCGAGGCGGCAGGGAGTGGTGTTGTGGGAGATAAGTGTGCCTTCCCAGGGCCTCACTTCCCCCTCTGCCCTGCAGAGCCAGGCAGCCAAGTGCCCGCTTGGCTGGGATGAGCCTTTGCACCTGCCCTGCCTGTCTTTTTTCCAGACAGGTGTAGTCACTCACCTGCCTGTACCTGCGGGCTCGCGGCTTCCCACGCCCTGGCTGGCCGGGCACCTGTGGGGCAGGGAGCACTCGAACCTCACCGTGGAGTCAGACTCTGTTTCCACGAGCTGTTGGCTGGAGCCTCCCGGCTCCCCTGCCTGCCTTGGCCTGTATGACACCCCCTTTCTGCCCCCTAAACTCGTGTCTGACCACCTGCTGGCCCTAGGACCATCCCCTGATGCCTCCTGCCCTTTATACGTCCCTGATGACACTGGGCAGGTTAATCATTGCCCCGCACCCCTGACAGACCGGGCATCAGAAGCTCAGAGAAGGAAGGACCCTAAGACTTCACTTCATTCCAGCCTCTATGTGTACAGAGGAGGAAGCTGATGTGTGGGGAGGGAAAGCGACCTGCCCATGGGAACGTGCAAATTAGCAAGTGGCTAAGAAGGGCCTAGAGCCGGGGCCTCCTGACTCCTAGTCCAGCGCTCTCACCACCTCCCTAAGCCCTTAGTTCTCTTTGCCATGGAGTCCCTACCGCCTGCAGGTCCCATCCCTGCAAGGGGACCTGATGTGACCCAGGCTGGCCTCCACAGCTTGAAGCACCCCCCTGCCCCCTAGCCTCTCAGGATCCGGGGACATGCACAGCTCTGGGCGAGTTGTCCGAGGCCGGAAATGGGAGTTTGCTCAGGGCTCACAGGCTACGTCCAGGGCCTCAAAGAGGCCAGTGCGGGGCTAGAGCTGTTCATGGAGATGCGTGGGGCCCCCTTCCTCTCCCCAGAGCCAAAGAAACGGGGGCTGGATCCCTTCTCACCCTCCTTTGATGTAGTCAAGAAACGTGCACTCGGACTCCACCGCAAAGGAAAGCAGCGTGACCTTGAAAACAAAAGGGAGCTTGGTCAGCCAGGAGCCTAGGGCTGGGGGGGGACAGTTCACTGAGGGCGGAGGGAGCACGCGGTGCCAGCCAGTCTTGCATACTCCACTGCACACGGCACCCACACCGACCCTAGGACATGTGGCAATGAAATGGGATCAAGTGGCTTCAAAGAGGTCATGCAATCTGCCCAGGACGTGACAGGCCCAGGTCTGTCTGACTCCAGAGCCTGCACTCTCGACCTTGATACCAAACTGCATCCTGGGAGGGCCCTGTCTCTGTCACTGCAGCACAGGGGCTCAAAGCCAAGAGCACACGTCTCCCCTAAGTGGATACCGACATGGAGCATGGGAGGCGAGGGGGTCTCCCTGACACGGGCCTAAAAACCTGCCGACGCGCACAAGCTCCGCGCTTCCGTGTCCTGCTAACTACCGACCTAAAGCATCCCTCTCTGGTCTGTGCTTATCTGAAACCTTACTTGTCCCAACTCATCCCCTCTGGTGTCTCTTGATCTCTGCCTTCCCAGACCAGAGACCCTCCAGCGCAGCCCGTCTTTCCCAGGAGGTAACAGACTTGCCCCCACCCACCCCCCCAGAGCAGATGTCTTTTGACCTGTTCCTTCTGGCGGCTCCGGCATCCACTCTGCCAAGACAGGCAGCTCCCTGGCAGCTCACTATGATAAGGGATTTGGGATCACGAGACAAGTGAAAGCCTGGCTGCCAAAACCAATTAAATGAGGCAAGACTGGGGCAGGGGACCTTTTACCTGTGTCAGAGATCTCTACCCTAGACTTTGGGGAAGCCCCTACTGGTGCAGATTCTGCTCTCAAGGTCAACTCTCTGGACAGGTCAGGGAGGGAGGGCTTCGGCTTGACATTGGTCCAAATCACGGGAGGGTCTGTGGGTGCTGAGCTGGGCCTCGGAGACCCGGACCGGCTGCGGTTGTGGTGTTAGGCACCTGGACAGACAAAGCCTCCTTTTGCTAGGAGCGGACCGTGCCAGGGGCCTCTGCCCTGACCAGTGGTCACGACATGACCGATGATCGTCTTACAGCCTGGGCGAGGACCCCCAAACCAGTCACCTAGGGCTCTGGCCCGGGATCTGTTTGTTTTTTTTTTTTTTAGCTCCTCTCACAAGTCTAACTTACAGCCGGGGTTGAACCCCACTGCCCCCCAACAAGGCTCTGGGATGAAGCAGTTCCCTAACCGCCTGACCATATGGATTCACCCAGGACTGCTCAGAGTGTGGTCCCGGGACCAGCAGCGGTGGCAGGAGCACCTTGATGCTGCTTAGAAATGCAGACACGCAGATTCTTGGTGGATTAGCAAGATCCCCCAGAAGATTCTGCACCCGGTGAGGAAGGTAGGAGAAGCTCTAGACACAGGTCCCCAGCCCAAGCCTAGGCCTCCTGAAATGGGACCCCAGAGACCTGGACTGGGCTCGTGCATTTTGATAAGCATCCTGGACCCTGACTGATGTGTTATGGTGAAGACTGACCCAAGGCAAATCACGTCCCCTCTCTGAGCCTCAGTGTCCTTATCTCTAAGAAAATGAAACGAGATCAACGGTTTTGAAACTTTTTTTTTTAGCTGGACATAGGAGACTTCCCAGCTGGGGAAGGCGCTGCCTCCCCTAGGGGCATGGGAATGTGTGGGAAAGTTCTGGGCTCTGTCAATGCCTGGGGCTGTACTGGTAGCCATGGGCTGAGAACAGGGGTGCTAAGCACCCCACAATGTGCAGGGAGGTCCTGGGACATCAAAAATGATCCTGCCCCAAATGCTCACAGTATGTAGCAGACACACTGCAGCTTTGGACAAAGGAAATACTACTCCGATATCCTCCTGACTGAGAAATAGTTACAGTCAGTCCCCTTTGAAGGAGCAGAGTACTTTGCAGTTTGCGGGCCTGCGTCTCCATCTGTCTGTCACAGCCACGCAGTGCAGTGAGCAGGATAGGGAATGATTTATTCACCCCATTTTACAGATGGAGAAAATAAGTTTCCTCAGGGGAATCCTAGCGCTCCCTGACTGGAGACTTCTTCTGGGTCTGGAGTTGCAGTTTGCTTAACTCTAATGACTAAGCGTGGCTGCATTCGCAGGTGGGGCTGTGGACATCTACAGGACAGAGGGACACGAAGGTTACAAATCTGAATATATTTGCAGGGCAAAGACACTGCCTTGTTCTAGAAATGCACCATGGGCTCCACCTCAGGACCTTTGCACATGCTGGTCCCTACAGGTAGAAGTCTCTTTCCCCAATATCCTCAATCCTTGCTCCCTCCCCTTCTTTGAATCTCTGCTCTAATATCACCTTCTCAGAGCAAAATTTTCCTTAACTACTCAATATAAAGTAGTCGTTTTGTCTCTGGCATTCCCCAACCTTTTTTACCTTTGTATACTTTTTCCCATGGCACTCATAAGCACCAGACAAATCCAGGTATATGTATGCATACATTTGTTTTCTGTTTCCCCCATTAAAATACAAGTACCAGGACGGCAGAGATTTGAGTCTGTCTGTCCCCAGCTGTCTCCCTCAGGCCTAGAACATGACTGCGCTCAGTAAATATTTGTTGGATGAACGCATACATGTCTTGAAGCTCAGCCCCCAGAAGCTGCGCGGCTAGTGTGATCCTTGGACAGTCGTGGTCAACAGGGGAGGTGCCAGCTGGCAGCCTTCAATGTGACTGCTGCGCTGCCCGCCATGTCTGGCTATGGCCTCGGTTGTGACTTTCTGCCTCTGCGACCTTGGGCGGGTCACTTCCCTGCCTGCAGCCTCGGTTTCCTCTTTTACGACAAGGGGATACCAATGTCTGCCCCTCAAGGAAACTACCTGTGACCGAGCCCCTGGGTGGGGAGTTTCCCAGAGGAAGGGCCTCTCCTCCTTCTCCGCTTTCTTTCTGCAGGAAGTCCCCATGGGAATCTCTCTCTGGGCTTTCTCATTCCTTGTCACAGCACCTGTGCTATGGCCTCCACCATCTACCATCTGCATCTACTATCTCCCCCAGGGCTGTTGCTCCATCGGCCCCACCCCCTCCACCCCCAACACCCTGGGTCTGGTTCCCACACTCGGCTCAAGCCACGCAACTCCTGACACCGGGCCTAGCTGGGACCTCAGGATGCCTACGCCTGGCTGCACGGGGGCGGGGGGTGGGGGCGCCACTCACGGTGCCAGAATTCACGTATTTCTTTTTCTTCATTTTCTTTTTTGGGTTTACCACCTGCGGAGAAAAAGTTACAGGATAAGGAGGGTTTCCAAGCAGTCAGGAGTGGGCCCCCAGACCTTCTTCTAACGACCCCTGATATGACCCCAGCCCCAGCAAGCAGAATGTGGGGTCCAGGGAGGGGAGGGTCCCGGGAGGATTTCTGAGAGCCTGATATTTAAATTTATAGAAACAGGCTTCCTGATTAGACCCAGTGTTCCACGACCAAACACACCAGGAATAATATTTATTTAACCCTCCTCCCACTGCTCCCCCAAAACACGCCCCCCACCCAAAGCAGCCAGAGGAGGTTTGATGTTGCAAAGGGGCCCTGTCTGTGCCTGCCCTTGTGTGTTGGCTCAGGCCGCTCCCCTCGCCCCAAATGCCTTCCCCTCCTCCCTCCACCAGGGTCCCCTCCCTGAGATCCAGGGATCAACTGTCCTGGGGCCTTCGAGGGTGCCCCCTTCCCCCCCTCCCCCTCACACTGCAGTTAGAATTTCCTTAACTGTTCTTCATGTGAAAGCTCTCATTCCAAACCAGACCTGTCATCAGAGAATATATCACAGGCCTAGGTGCATATTTAGTAGATGCTAAAAAAAAAAAAATTACTTGTTGCTGGATTTAACTCCAGTCGTCTCAACTGCCCGTTCCCTCCCCCCCGTCCCAGGCATTTGGCAATGTTTGGAGATATTTCGGTTGTCACGACTGGGGAGAAGGTAGAGGCAAGGGGTGCTGTGAAACATCACGGAGCGCACAGGGCAGCCGCCCCCCCCCCGCAAGAATCACCGAGTCCGAGATGTCTGGCAGCACCCAGCACTGAGGCTGAGAAGCCCTGGGTGAGTGAGAAGGACCAGAGCCTTCCAGGAGATCTTACACCTTCCTCATCTGTACTGGGCTTGAGCCTCACCAGCTCATTCGTTTTCACATGGGAAGCTCAGGCCAGGCCTTTCCCTAACCTCCCATCAAAGGAAGCAAGGTGGTTTGATTTTCACACACCCCAGGTCCTCCCCAGGTTCCTGATGAACTCATTTCCCCTCCCCCCATCTCCCTGGGGCTGGTCGGCTCTGTCTTTAGCAGAGACCTCTTCCGGCCCGGAATGAGAGTTGCTCTCCGTCTCTGGAGATAAGGAAATGAAGGCCCAGGGGCCAGAGTGATTTGCCTGAGGTCACACACCTGCTCCGTGACAAAGCTGGAAACCGGGTTCCTGCCCTCTGCCCAGTGCTGCCTACCTGGGTGTCACCTTGATAACAAACACAAACCCACTCCTTCACAAATAGTTATGTGGTGGGGGTGGGGGATACCAGTTTCTCTCTTCCAGAATCTTCACTCCAACTGGAGAAAGATCTGTCCCTAGGGAGAGAGAGGACAAGAGACACCAAAAAGGGGAGCCAGAAACCTGAAGGCAGTTGGAGGAAGGAAGGACTGTTCTAGGCCCAGCATGAGCATGAGCAGGCCCCCCGGGGACAGCTGGTGTTGAAGGGCCCGTGCTGAGGACAGGAAGGGTTCGGGCGCCGCAGAGAGATGGAGGGAGGCCATTCCAGTCAGAGGAGACAGTCACGATGGGGGGGGGGGGGGGGGGGGGGGGGGGGGGGGGGGGGGGGGCGGGGGTGAGGCGGGCACAGACTGGGCAGGCTGGAAGAGAGCCTAGAGGGGCCAAACTAAATGTCTGATGACCTCTAAACTAATAGGCACAGGAGCACTGGTTCTAGGAGGCTGGGGCCTGGAGGAAAGGAGTATGAGGGGAGAAGGGGACACCAGGGGTATATTTGCCCACTGGGTTCTACCACCTATGGCTGTGTGACCTTAGACAAGTTAATTTAGCCTCCACGGGCCTCAGTTTCCTCATCCATAAAATGGGAATAAAAAGTATCTACCTTATAAAAAGGTATGGGGATTAAATAGGCCAATATAAGTAAAGTATTTAGGATACGGTCCACAATATAGCAAATACTATGTAAGTGTTAGCTGCTGTTCCTTTTTTTTTTTAAATGTTTTATTTATTTCTAGGAGAGAGAGAGAGAGGGAGACAGTGTGAGCAGGGGAGGGTCAGAGAGAGAGGGAGACAGAGACTGTGAAACAGGCTCCAGGTTCTGAGCTGGCAGTCAGCACAGAGCCCGACGCGGGACTCGAACCCACGAACCGCGAGATCATGACCTAAGCAAAAGTCGGACGCTTAACCGACTAAGCCACCCAGGCGCCCCATCTGCTGTTCATTTTTATTACTCCTTCTCCTACTACCACCCCCACGAGTCCAGGTGAGAGAGCCCAGGACAACCTCAGAGCCTCCACCGGCACGAAGGCCACCCGGATGACCTGTGGTGCACACACATTCACGGGAAAATCGTGTACTAGGCAAGCTCCAGTGCCATGCTGTGCCTCAGTTTCTCAACCTGTCCCATGAGGGCGTGGAACTTTTAGAACTGAATGCACCTCAAACTTTTATTCCAACGTCTCCTCCCAGCTGAGGAGAATAAACATGGACTTCTGGGGGGCTGGGTGTCGCCCAAGGACCTGGCCACAAGCACATTTCTTTGAAGTCTTCTGTGTTACCTTTAAATTAGCCTGTAGTCCACATTTCCACTCTCTAATTATAACTGTTTTAATATTAAAGTAATGTTTTGTTCTCGGATCCTCATGTGAAGTGGGCACTGAAGAAACACCCTGTTTATTCTGAGGTTTCATGCCTTCCCAGCACCCCACCCCCATGGTACCAGCCTCTCTGGCCCTAGATGGCTGCACCCTCAAGTTCCACGTGGGCGACCATCGCCCCCTGGGGGCCAGGCCAGGAATCTCCCAGCTCCCAGGCTGGAATTCTCAACCTTCTCTCCCTCTCCTCACACCCCCAGGTCCTTATGGCCGCCCAGGGCAGGTCTGGGGTGGGCCCTCCTGTCAAGCAAGGCCCTGAGTGGCTCCCAGGGGCCAGGAACTGTGCTGGCTTTGGGAACACAACAGTGAAACAATGCCCCCACCCTTGAGGACGTCATGGTCCTTGAGGGGATGGGAAGCTTGACAAACAGGTAATAGCCAAGGGAGTGAGGGGACACACAGAAGCGCCAAGGAGTACAGACTGTGGCAGTACAGTGGGTGTGCAGGCAGAGAAGGCTTCCTGGAGGAGGAATAATACCCAAAGGGAGTCTCCAAGGATCCACAGGCCCAACCAAGTGAAGAAGAGCAAAAGGGGTCCCGGGGCGGGGGGGCACCATGGAGTGAAGCACAGAGGCTGAGCTGGCAGGGAGGCTGACGGTGGCCGTGGGCGGAGGTAAGGGGCCGGGGCAAGACCCCAGGGCCTCCAAGGGCTGGGACACGTGAGTCTACTTATGCACACCCACCGGTGTCCCACAGACTGCAGGTTGCTGGGGCGTGGAGGAGCTTGAACTCCTCCCTGTGAGTAAAGGGTCCTGTAGGCTCTCAGCTGGGCTGGGGGTGTCTTCCCGAACCTCCTCCCCACTCCTCTGGGTGAACCCGGGCTGACGCAGTAGGTGGGATGCACAGCCAAGGGTTAAGTGGGGCAGCGACGTGGTCAGACTGCCATTTTGGGGGAGCCCTTGGATTACTGAGTGGAGGACGGTAGGAGGCGGGAAGGCCTTTAGGGGGCCGTTGCAAAGCCCCCCACACAGGGGAGATGATGGCGGTGGAGGTGGATGGGAGTGGAGGGAACCAATGTCAGAGTGTGCAGGTGGTAGGATTCGGCTGTGGCCTGGATGTGGGGTGAGGGGCAAGAGGTGTCAAGGGTGACTTCCGAGGCGCCGTGGCTCCACGATGACCCCCCCGGGAGATGGCCAAGGGCAGGGGACACAGCTGTGGGGAGGCCTCAGCCAGTGCATTCAGTTTGGGAAGGCAGAGTCTGAGGGCTGGCTGGCCGACAGCTGGACGTGGGAGTCAGACACCCAGAGTGATGCCAGGGCCCAAGAGGAGGGTCTTTCCTGACAGAAACCTGTTCTCTCTTCAGGCAGTTTGGATAGGAAGGCCTTTCAGTGACCCCCCCTCCGGCCCCCCCATTCAAGGCCGGCCAGAGTTGAATTCTTTTTCTGATGGCATTTCTGATGGAGAAAACAAGTCAATCCAACCTTTTCTGCTTTGAGCTTGAGAGATCATGGCCTCTTCTAGCCTGTCAAGCAAGCATCCTTAAAAGCCAAACTCCAGGAGATGTAATCCCTTTCCCTCACCTCCCTAAAAAGCTCCTTAAAGGGACCCGGAGAAGGGATGGCGTCTGCTTCTCTCCGCCTGGGTGGGGGAGCTAAGACAGCCCTTCCCTTGGCTGACTCAGAAAACAAAGCAATTAACTGTGAGGACAGAGCCCTTGCGAAGAAATCCACCCACGCTCTATCTTCACCACGGCCTCCTGCAAGGGAGTTCGGTGTGTGCACGGATCACAGGCACTTGCTGGGTGCCTGTGGCCAGCGTGACGGGAGGCCACGGAGAGGGCTGTCACCTGGCCCGCCCTTAGGGAGCTTCCGTCTAACTGGTACACGATACAGGGTGAGGCAGTAAAAGCGTGGAGCTTTCACCTTTTAGAAGGTGGGAGGGCACCCCGGGAGGAAGAGCCCCGGGAGGAAGAGCACACACAGGCAAGAGCTCAGCACCAGAAACTGTCCTTTAAGGGCAGACACTGTCATCTCCTGTAAGACTGGGGGCCTTGTCCCAGCTTCTCCAGGTCCCGGTGGAGGTATCCTGACTCCTGTTCCTCTGACTCTTTCCTTCCAGAAAAGGTAGAAGGTATTCAGCAGGCCCTGAAACTGTTCTGACGGAGGGCAGAGGGCCACCTTGGACTCAGGACCTTGGGTCTCTGACCTCGGAACCTTCTGAGAATGTCCCCCACCTTCTGCCCCACCTGCGCCCCCTCCCCGCACCTTGTTGGAAGGGCCCTGCGTGGAGGCTCTGTAACTCAGCGATTTGGAGCCAGAAGAGCGGACACTGTTTGCCTCTCGATTCTCCACTTACTGAACCGTGGGTCTTTGAGCAAATTCCCTGACTTCTCTGAGACTCAGGCTCCTTAACTGTAAAATGGGACAGTGAGACCCACCTCCCGGGAGAGCAGGCAAAAGCCCCAGCCCCGCACGTGACCCCCTGTGGTCCTCAGTGCCTGGGATTCATGTATTATCAGAGCAAACCCCAGACTCTAGGCGCCCACCTCACCTCGTAGATGTTAAACTGGCTCTGCCCGCGGGCCAGCTCCCGGTAGCTGGTGGTGAACTCCCCGATGAAGTCGTGGCTGCAAAGGAAGGCTGCCGCTGAAACCAAGCGGCCAGGGCTGCGCCCTGCCTCTGCCCACCTCCCCGCCTCCTACATCCCTTCCCTCAGCTCCCCATTCTGCCCGGGGTTGGGGGTCCCGAGCAGAGAGAGGCTGGTTCCCTGGGAGGATCCAGGGTCACCCGTGGAGCGGGAAACCCAGTGGTCACGGGACCCACTTGGTACTCAGGTTCTTGTCAGAACAAACTAGCCATGCAAGGGAATCTGAGGACAACTTGAGAAATTTAAATATGAAATGAATATTAGGTGGTACTCATGAATGATTGTTCCACGCATCAGGTGTGATAATGGCACTCCCAGTTATGTGGGGAAAGGTCCTTATTTTTTAGACATTCTCAATGAGATCTTTAGGGGGTAAAAATGCCTTGATGTCTGTAATTTAAACCACATCAGCAAAACACGGATAAAGCAAATGTGGCAACGTGTAACACGTGTAAAATTCAGATGGTAGGCCTAGAAGCATTCAGTAAGCTCGCCTATCTTTCTGCGTATTTGGACATGTTCCCAGTAACATCTCCTGAAACGACCATTCATGCTCTGTCCACCCAGGCAGCTGCAGGTGTCTTCTGCGGCAGCCACACCTTCCAGGACTGCCCCTCCCCCCTCAAACGTGGGAGCGGAGGTTAAGTGCAGCGCAGCAAAATCGGTAAGAAGGGGAGCTCCCATCTGCCCTGTGGCCGGCTGCCTTTCTCTGTCACTGTCCCTGGTAGAAGGAACCTTCCAGGGAGTGATGCCCAGGGCATGTCCCTGGGGACTGGCTCTGCCTCGAGTTCACACTGTCTTTTGTCTACATATGCATAGCTCTCCGCGTTCAGACCATGAGCTCCTCGATGCCAGGACCCTACGGCATCTGGTGGCTGTCCCCAGTTTTCCCCAGTGAAGGAGCTCCAGGGTAAGACGAAGCAAATAGTGGATGGAAACGGGGCTGACGTGCCTGTGACATGGTTACAGAGGGGAGGACGGAGTTGGGGGGCAGGAGGACAGAGTGAGTTAACAGAGGGGCTGTGCCACTTAAGTCCTCTCTCTCTCAGAAGGCCTCGGGGGAAGATGGCTACCTGGCCCGGCCAGGGCCTAACTTAGAGCTGTGTCTGCACAGCCCTTTACAGTATGCCTCCTGTCCACATCACAGACTGGAGAGGCATCCACAGAGCGGATGGGGCTTAGAGCCCCCTGCAACGCCTCTGGGAGAGCCACAGAATGGAGGGGTCACAAAAGTCAGGGCACATTTGGCTTTGGTTCAACAGACACGTAGGAGCCAGCGAGGTTTCTGGACTACAGCCACAGCAGGCCCGTTCTGGTCCTCATCTATCAATTCCCAGTGACGGTGCTCCCTGGAGGACAGTCACAGACAGGAAGGGTGGGCACTGACCTCCCAGAACCCGACTGGGAAGTGCCCCTCTCCTGGCCAGGCTCGGCCCTACTCAGGCACTGCTTCAGGGCTCTGGAGACCATTCACGTGAGTCAAAGCTTACGTTTCCGGGGGCGCCCGGGTGGCTCAGTCGGTTAAGCATCTTGGTTTCGGCTCAGGTCATAATTCTCTCTGTGCTGACATTGCAGAGCCTGCTTGGGATTCTCTGTCTCCCACGCTCTCTGCCCCTCCCCCACTCTCTCTCTCAAAATAAATAAACTTAAAACAATAATAAAAAGCTCACACTTCCCAAAGCCCGCTCCCTCAGGGCCTGCTCCCTGCAAACAGATTCTGTGATGCGTCAAGGGCCTCCCCACTAGATTGGGGGGGGGGGTCTCTGAGGGCTGAGCTTGTCTTCTGTGCCTCAGTCACCCCACAATGCTTAGTTAGCCTCACACAGAGAACAGGTCTGTGAATGCGCGGGGGTCGCTCAGGGGGTCACTGGTATCTGTACATTAGAATATGCACATTTCAGAAAATCACAGTTCTCCCGAATGTGGGGAGGTTCTAGGCACCGGCAGGCAGCCAGGCAGCTATTTCAGGAAAAGAGCATCCATGCCCTGGAACATGGCCTGCAGGATAGAGAGCGCCCGGTGGCTCCGTGGAGCCCAGCAGGGACAGGCCACTGGAGCAGGCCCCCCCCCAGGAAAACCCTCTGACCCCCATGGCTGCCACAGTGAGGCCAGAGCACAGCTCTCCCCCTGCGAGGGCAGGGCCCAGCCGCCCCCTGTGGCTGTCCCCGTCCCTGCTCCCCGTTTGTCGTCTGCCTGCTTACCTGCCATCCCGATCCCAGTCGTACACCTCCACCTTGATGGTCCTGCAAGGCAAAGGGCCCGTGATGGGAAGGACTTGCCCCAGCACCTGCGCGGCCTGAACACAGCCCTTCCCGTGCTCCTGGGCCAGAAGGGGACGCCGGGCCACCCACTAGGCTCCAGCTGCCCTCGCTGGACACAGGCAGGGCACCCCAAGAGACAAAGGAACTCTCTTGAGGCCTTTTGGCGAAGGTCTTCGGGATAGTGGCAGCCGGGAAGCTGTGCAGGGACTTCCCCAAGTTTCAGGGAAACGCCACCTTCAGTTCACCCACCTTGTCCTTCGCCCGCCACCCCAGGCAGGACACAGGTCCGAGGACGACGCCACACTGGGAATTTGTCAGGGGTGGGGCTGTGGGGTGGGAGTGTGGCACTCCCCGGGCCTGAGGCCTCAGCGGGCTGGGCTTTCGTGGGGACAGGGTAACGGGGCTGCAGGTGTGGTGGGGGGACCCCGGCCGGGGGGGAGTCTGTGTGGTGGGGAAGCAGCCCGGCAGGGAGGGACCCAGTGCCCGTGACCGGTGGACAGCCTGCTGAGTTCTCCCATTGCCACGACTGGCTCCTGAGTGAGGGTGTAATTATCTTCACATTTCAGCCTGGCTGCTTTAATTAGTTTGTTTTGACTCCTGTGCATGGGGCTGGGCTTTGGAAGCCCGTTTTATTTTTAGCTCGTTTCCATGGCAACGGGCTAGCAGACCAGAGGTGGGAGGAGGGAGGTGGAGGGCTGCGGGTTAACCCTTGGTGCCAGTGGTCCTTCAGGGACGCCCAGGGACCAGGGAGCTGCCAGGGTCCCACCGCAGGGTCGGGGCCGGCGAGGCGGGAGAGGAGAGGCGCGGCGAGCCGGGGTCTCCGGCAGGCAGTCCTAAACGGGGCTCGCACAGGCCGCTGTAGGGCCTGGCATATGTTACCATCTCATCTCGCCGGTGGCCGCAGCCCATCCCCTTGGGTCTGCGAGGGGCCGGCCTCGTGACTGCGCAGCCCCCAGCAGGAGGCGCTGTCCCCCTTCAGATGAGCCGTCACCGGCCGGGCGGGGTGCAAATCCGCCTGCAACAGGGCACAAAACTGCTCCCAATGAGGGAATGTCTTCTAGGTTATGCACCAACCGGATTTTGGTTACCAAAACGTAAAAAGGGGCAGGCAGAGAAACCCACCATTTAAAGGAAACTTCTAAATTCTCACGAAAAACAAGAAAGCTGTGCCTAAGGTGAACTGTATGGAAAGGAAAAAAAAAATCTAGGCCCCGGAAGGTAGGCCGGAGAGCTAGAAAAAGAGGAAAGAGGCTGGGGTGCAGACTTAGATGCTGTGGGACCTGGGGATGGCACTGAACCTCTCTGAGCCACAGACCACCGTTTTCAGGTAGGGACAAGAGCGGCCTTGCAGAACAGCTGCAGAGACACGTGGGCAACCCTGCCTGGCACACAGGTGGGTCTCTACGAAAATGTCTCTTCCTGGGGCGCCTGGGTGGCTCAGTCGGTTAAGCGCCCCATTCTTGAGATTGGCTTGGGTCTATATCTGTGTGCTGACAGCATAAGGCCTGCTTGGGATTCTCTCTCCCTCTCTGCCCTCCCCTGTGCACTCTCTCTCTCAAAAATAATAATAATAAACATTAATAAAGGAAAAAAATGCCTTGTCCTCTTCACTTGGGCATTCGGCCACACATGGATAGTTTTTCATATGAAATTGACTTAATTTTTTTTAATGTTTTTATTTATTTCTGAGAGAGAGAGAGAGAGAGAGACAGCGTGAGCAGGGGAGGGTCAGAGAGAGAAGGAGACACAGAATCCGAAGCAGGCTCCAGGCTCTGAGCTGTCAGCACAGAGCCTGACGCGGGGCTCGAACCCACAAACCATGAGATCATGACCTGAGCTGAAGTCAGACGCTCAACCGACTGAGCGACCCAGGTGCCCTGATACGAAATTGACTTAAATCGGGGACACCCAAGCCTGAGTACCTGGGCTCTGCAACTTCCAATTCCTGGAATGAGAAGGCCGCACATGCCCTTTGTGGTGTCCAAGCCCAGCCACGTGGCAGATCGCCGGGGAGGCTCTCCAGACACACACAGCCCCAGGTCCATTTCCTGGCAGCTCTGGGCAGGGCCCCGTGATCTAGTTCAAAGGCTTCCATAGTGGCACTGCCGCACACATTCCGGAGTCATACCCTCCAGCCCGCTCCTTTTCAGATGGGGAAACTGAGCCCTAAGAGCTCCCGCTGATGTGCCCAGGGTCACAGAGCTGGTGAGGATGGGAGCCAGGGCCCTGCCTCACAATGCCAAAGTCCCCCAGTCCTTCCCAGAGCCGTGCAGCTCTGCAGGGGACATCCAGGAACCCCAGGGAGGAGTGCGTCTCCTCCGGCCATGACACCAGCCCCTCGGGCGACTCGATCGTGACAGCCACATGCTCAGAGGCTGTAGGAGGACCCCAGTTGCAGCCACAGCCTTGGATATTCAGAAAAATCACTGGGGAGATTTTTTTTTTTTTTTTTTTTAATCCCAGGGCCAGAGGGCCTGATTTAATTGCTTTGGCACAGGTAGTTTGGGACAGTCCCCTGGTTGATTGGAATGCGCGGCCAGAGCCACTGACCTTCTCCAGACGAGAGCACTGATTTTCCAGCCTGGTTCATACTGGGTCCCTGGCGAGCATTAGCAATCCTGACACCAGCCAGTGCCTCACCCGAGGTTCAGAATCAGTGGGTCTGGAGTCCAGCCTGGGCAGGGGGACTGTCAATAGCTCCTTGGGGAATCTGACACTACAGCCGAGGTGAAGACCACTCAGAAGTGTGAGATTCTGGTGTAAACTCAGCCCAGCTTCCACCGGGGTTCCGGGGACGGCTGTGGTCTGAGGGGGCCAGATTAGCTCAGAGACTGCAGCCCCCAGCACCGGGGGAAAAGGAGGGGAGAAAAACGGTGCCCAGAGACAGGGGAAGGCAGTGGCAGAAGCCGGACCCAGCTCTGACTACTCTATGGACTTCTGTCTGTATTCCGTCACTTTCCAGCCCTAGCTGGGCTGCCCTCGGTCACCTCACGTGCCACTTGTGGGCTGCGGGCCTTGGCTCCAGCCCCTTAACACAAGCCTAATAAAGGCTCATATCCGACCAGCTGTGACTTCTGGGGACAGCACCCTAGGGAAGGGGCTCCTGGGTACAGGACAATGAAATGGGCCTCTGCTACCCACAGAATGAACACCTTATTTGGCATTAAAGGCTCAGAACACAGAGCCCCTAATCTGAGAGGCAGTGAGGTGGCCAGAGAAGGCAGTAGGCTCAGGGGCAGTCCCAGCTCCCGCAGGTACCAGCTGTGTAGCCCAGTGCAACTGGCTTACCCCTCAGGGACTCTGTTTACCCCTCTGTCAAACGGGATCACTGTACCCACTTTGGAGTCAACTGCATTATTTGCATATCACTCACACCGGCACCAGACACGTGTTGTTCTGTTCCATCTAAAACACTCCAGCCTTTTGTCCAAGCCCTGTCTCCCCAACAATCCTATTCACCATGCAAATATCAGCTCCATGACACCGGGGACTTTTGTTTGTTTGTTCACTGATGTATCTTTCAGCTTCTAGAACAGTGCCTTACATATAGCGGGTAACATACATAGTATTAAACACCTGTTGCCCAAGCTCTAACAACTCTGTGAAGTTACCATGCAGTAACAGTTCCCTCCTTGCCCAGAGTCACAAAGGGAAGCCCAGGGTGTGGGCTGCTCAGCTGTGAAGCCAGGCCCGGGGCGGGGAGCCAGAGTCCTGGGGATCTCCGGATGCCTGGGGCTGGAGTGACAGAGCTGGGTGTGTGTGAGCCTTAGCAGGGCAGGAAGAGGTACTGGGCTGGCAGGTCCCCACGGCTGGCCCCAGCCTGACAGTCAGCCCACCGGTCAACAGTCCTTCTAAGGGAAGAGGAGGGGTGCCAGGCCTCACTGAGCTGGCAGTGAGGCTGTATGCTGGTGCCCCATGCAACCCCGGCCAGACTGCAGGGCCCTGACCTCCGCTGGCTGAGCTCAGTTTCTGCACGTGCGAGCGGGGCAGGAGAGAAGTCACAAAACCTGGGTCCTGTGTAGTGGCCGGGCCCCTCACTCCTGAGCATGTGGTGGGATTCAGAGGAGAAGCATTTCCCTGCTCCAGGAGGCCGGCAGAAGTGTGAAGCTTCTATGAGGCGAGAACCCGCAGTTCTGGGGAATCCTCTCCCCAGGTGAGGACCCAGGACAACTGACCCTCTTAAAACTCCACTCAGTCAACACTGAGGTGTGAGTGAGTGATAGCATCCCCCCCAGGGGAATCTGGCTTAAGGGGGACAAATCCTCAAGTCACAGAAGGGTCAAGGAAGAGAGTAGAGGGACTTCAGGAAAAGGCAGGGGAAGTGCTTCCTGTCATCGCCCACTTCACCCCACTGGAGGGCTCTACTCGCTCTCATCTGGAGGCCAGCTCCCCTGACTCCAGCTCTGCTCAGCCGGCTCCAGGCTCCCGAGGTTTGGACCAGAGACATGGCAAAGGCAGGGGGACCTGGAACTGGAAGGCCAGCCCAGAGGCGACTTCTAGAGAAGGAAAATGCACCTTCTCCTTACTTTGGCAAGATACGTGAGTTCCAGGCCTCTGTGTCCCCATCTGTGAAATGGGCATGTCACTAGTACCTAACGTTACTGTGAAATTTAAATGCACAATATAAGAGAAAGCTTTTAAATCAATTAGGACACAATTGGGCCCATGTCTGAAAGACTCAGCAATCTTAACTGGTTTCCACCCCTGACCCCCCACTCCCGTTATTCCAAGAAAGCATCCTTTCTCACAGGTCCCTGGTTCTCACCCTCCTGGCCTCTATTTCTCGACAGGAGTTGATAATTTCTGTTTGGATTCTCCCCTCTCAGCTCCCTTTCACCCCCTGATCTGGGCAGCTATCAAGGCCTTTTGAGTCTTTCTTCCACCTCCAGGCTCAAAGCAGACCTGCCCCGAGTCCCTGGGTGAGCCCTCCTCCAAACGTGCCCCACTCACACCCGTCTTAGCCATTGGGCAGCAGATTGAGGGTTAAGAACACAGATTCTCTAGCCAGCCTGCCTGGTTCCAAATCCTGTTCCACCACCAACCTGCCGTAATTCACCGGGGCGAGCTACTTAACCTCTCTGGGTCTCAGTTCCTTTACCTATAAAAGGTGAATAGTATGAGCGCCAGTTTTCAGGGGAAATACCAATTGTTGGGAGAATTAAATTAGTTCATATACATAAATTACCACAGAAGTGCTACAGGAGCCTTTGCTATTATTATTATTATTGCCTGTCTGTCTCCCATTCTGGCCTGGGAGCAACCTAACAAGAGAGGCTTGGGTCTGATGCTCAGAATGCCCCCGGCCCCCAACATGGCGCCCGGTGCCTGGCTGGCTTGGAAGACACAGCTGGGAGATCAAATTAAATGTGTTCTCGGGAGGCTTCGAGAGGTACCTCGGAAGGCGAGGAAGAGTGGCTTTGTCTTCTTGCACAAACCCTTCCCCCTCCTCCCCTGAGAGGGCCTCCCGGACACTTGCACCTCTCAAGTGGCTGTTGGGTCCACAGGTCACCCTGGAGCTCAGCGGCAGATGCCTGCTTGTTTTGCAGGCCAGCGTGACACGCCTGGCCCCCTCCATTAACACCAGCGTCAGTCACTTCATGGTCAATCTGCTCCTGGCTGTGGAGAAGGGCCCTTCAGTCGGCCATCCTGCAGGGAACGTGGTCTGGGGCTCAGCCTGGGAGGGGGAACCGGGGGCCTGTGGAGGTGCTCCCCAACATCTGCACCCCCCACCACACCCCCACCTCCTCCAGTGGCTGAACAGTGACCCCCGGCCTCTGAGCTTGGCTGCCCTCCTCACTGTCCCTGACGAGGCTGGGTTCTGAGGGTGCAGGGCTGTGGGGGTCAGGTAGACCCCCAACAACCTCTGGGCAGAGGGGCCAGAGACCTCAATTCCTCCCACCCAGTGAAACTTGCACTCCCATCCCCCAACCTTGAATTTCCCCTCCCTTCCTGTCATCTCAACCATTCTCCCAGACACCAATACCCCCCAGTTCCTCCCCGCCTCCCCCAAACCTCCTTTTCACCCTACTGCTCCAACCAGACTGTCCCGCCAGCCCCCAGACCCCCAGGAGCCTCAGGACCCGGCCAGATATGTACCAGGGGTTCATCTGGCTAGAGGCCTATTTTTGTCTCCAGTCTCATTTTGCACAATTATTTAGCTATCTAAAATGCAGATGTGCACACGTCTGAGCTCCCTGTGGTCAGACTTCAAGTTCCCTAAAGATGGAAACGTGGCTACATTTACATTCCCCCGAGTGCCACACAGCTGCTGGCGAAGCGTAGCCAGCCCCTGTGACTGCCTCTGGGGGGGCTCAGCGACTGTCTTTGGAGCAGACTGTGGCTGCTCTGTTCCCGACAAAGGCAGGAAAATGAGCCACTTCAGCTCCTGGCTCAGCAACCTAGTAAGGCAATCCTGGGGGCTTCCTGGAGGAAGACAGGTGTCTGACAGCCAGCCACCCTGTCATTCGCTCTCCATACCACCACATACATCCAGTCGGAAGCCACTGCGAGCAGGGTCCCAGGGAGCTCCTGCCAATGCCATCAGCCAGGATGCCCTGAAGGGGTCTGTGCTGACACCCCAGTGTTCCTGTCTGAGTGGCCAGCAGCGGCCCACCTCCTCCAGGCCGCCCAGTGAACCTTCTGCCAGCTCAGCCACCAGCAACAGCGATCACCAGGAAACCAGGCTGGGTTCTCGTGACTGAACACAGGCCGACACCATCTTCCAGCTCCCGTCTTAACCCCCACCCCCAGCCCACTCCCCGGCACTTACCACAATTTGTAATTATGTTTCTTTGTAGGATTATTGGATGAATGTCTGCCTCCCCCGTGAGAGTGTAAACTCCACAAGGTTGGGTGAAGGGTGAAGACTGCGTTTTGTTCCCTGCGGGTTTCCCAGCATCTAGGGCACGGTGCCCGGTGCCCGGCGCATGGTAGACACTTGGGGGACATGATGCCGGATTTGGTATGCACGCCAGAGGCTGCTGGTGGAGCTTCTGAGCAGCTCTTTAAGGTAGGTAGCCATTTAAAACCCATTTTACAGATAAGGAAACTGAAGCCCAGACAGGTCACAGCTTGCCCAGGTTGACCCAGGATTAGAAACTGGGTATCCGGGATCGATGTCCAACAATCTACACTCAAAGAGTGATGGCGATAGCAGACGTGTCCTAAGAGTAGGCTATGTCACATCAAAAAAGAGTCACGAGTTCTCTGTACTCCGCCCCTCAGCCCCCATTTATCTTGGGATGCTGATTCCCCAGATTCCGTCTGCAAGGAGCTGGTGGGGGACCTGGCCGCCTCGGCCTGCATCTAGAGCCCCCATCCTGCTCCCGCTGCCCCTCCACCAGAAATCATGGAGACACAGGCTGCAGAGCTCCAGGCCAGGACCCCCCCCCCCCCAGGAATCCCATCCCCCCAGCCTGGGGAGGGCCCCACCAGTGGGGTCGGTGGGCGGGCTGTCAGACCAGGCAGGATGGGGCAGGAGGCCCCTGAGGAGACGAAGGCAGACACTGCCTGGGGAGGTAGAGGCAGGGACAGCACAGCTCCTGGGGCTCGGCCCACACTGTCTGCCCCTGCGCTGGGCGGGGACTGGGCGGGGACTGGGCGGGGACTGGGCAGGGACGGTTTTCTCATCTCACCGGTCATAGTCCCCGTTGCAGAGCGCTCTCACAGGAATGGAGAAAGTTTGCCAGACTGGGTTTAGGGTGTTCTTCATGACTTCGGTCTTGTGGCAGATGGTGAAGCTGGTGAAGAAGAGAGGGAAGGTGTCAGGCCCGAGTCAAGGGAGGCAGAATCCAGATGCCAGACAGTGGGAACCACAGCTTCGTGAGGTGATGAGCTGCCTGTCACTAGCAGCATCCAGGCAGGGACTAGATGGGCGTTTCTTTCCTTTTATATTTTTCTTTTTTTAACGTTTATTTTATTTTTGAGAGAGAGAGAGCATGAGCTGGGGAGAGGCAGAGAGAGAGAGCAAGAGACACAGAATCTGAAGCAGGCTCCAGGCTCCGAGCTGTCAGCACAGAGCCTGACGTGGGGCTTGAGCTCACGATCCACGAGATCATGACCTGATTCGAAGTCAGACACTTAACCGACCGAGCCACCCAGGCTCCCCAACTAGATGGCCATTTCTTGGTGATGTTTTTTAGTTTGGTTTGGTTTTTTAGGTTGGCTTTACACCCAGTGCAGAACCCAACGTGGGGCTTGAACTCACGATCCTGAGATCAAGACCTGAGCTAAGATCAAGCATCAGATGCTTGGGGCACCTGGGTGGCTCAGTCGGATGAGCATCCAACTTCAGCTCAGGTCATGACGTTACGCTTTGTGAATTTGATCCCCACATCGGGCTCTGTGCTGACAGCCCAGAGCCTAGAGCCTGCTTCCGATTCTGTGTCTCCCTCTCTCTCTGCCCCTCCCCTGTTCACATACTCTCTCTCTCTCTCTCTCAAAAATGAATGTTAAAAAAAAAAAAAAAAAGTCCGATGCTTAACCCACTGAGCCACCCAGGTGCCCCTCTTGGTGATGTCTGAGGGAGCAGGTGGGGAGCATCAGGAGATATGGGTTCTGCCCTTCCTCTCCACCCCCCACCCCCGTGTGACCTTGAGCAAGCAGATCCGTCCCCTATGAACTCAGGGAGCTGGCTGCTACCAGACCTTCTTCATCCGAGATCCACAGAAGGATCTGTGGGTGGGATTTCGGGGTTTGTAAACCCTTGAATTGGGGTGAAATTGGGTAGGTGACTCTCATATGCTTACCATCCCCCTTCCGGGAGCACTGTCTCCCCAGATGTTCATGGTTTGCCTCCTCACTTCCTTTAGGTCTTTACTCAGATGTCACCCCACTGACATGAGCACTTGCCCTGAGCACCATACATGTAAATGTATAGCTGGTCCCCTGACTCTGACATCCCATAGTCCCCTTCCGTGCTTTTTTTTTTTTTCTACTTCACCTGTTACTGTTTGACATTTTAGTCTGTGTTTCTCCTTATTTATGTTATGGTCTATCACTAAAATGTGAGTTCAGTAAAGGCAAGCGTTTTGTCTTCTTTGATCACTGGTATATCTCTAGTGCCCAGACCAGTGCCTGGCGCCTAGTAGGTGTTCACTAAATATTTTTGGGGGGAACGAACTAACGAGTATCTGTATTTCTCAGAGGAGGGTTTCCACAGATTTCGCTGGCATTAAAGGTGGTGAAGTGAGGCCCCTGGCTTAGACGATCTCTGAGACATGTCCGGCTCTTCCAGTCTGAATCCATGAGACTGCTCTGCAAACTGAAAGGGTAGAACCGGCTCATCCCGCTGGGCTCCAACCCAGCCTTCCTGCCCACTCCCTGTGCCATGCCTGCTGGCCCATCCCGGGAGCCTGCCCCGCCGCAGGGAGGGAAAGCCAGGAGCCAGAGCTGGGGGGCACAGGCTGGCCCCCTGAGACTTCCCAACATCCACCCCGGCCACCTCCCAGCCCGGAAAGGTCACCCCGGAAAGTGCCTGGGCCTCGCCCGTGCCCACACAGCCTGTACCATTTCTTCTCCGGCAATTTTCAAGTCAAAATGTCACTCCTGTCACCACGGCTCAGCGTTTCTCTTCTCTGCTCCTTCTCGCCCGCCCACTGGCGTGTAGAGATACATGTGGGAGACCTCCCCACACACCCCGGAGCTGATGACGAGGACGGGAGCAGGGACCACGGGGACAGGAGGAACCACTGCCCAAGCTGGGGCAGGCAGGTGAGGCAGGCTGAGGAGGGGTTGGGGGAGAATCAGGTGCAGCCGCTGGGCGGTGAAAGGAGGGACACTCCCGCTCCCGTGTGCAGAAGCCCTGGCCGGGCTCCAGGGACCCCCTACCTGCCACAGTCACACCGCCCTGCTGCCCTCCTGCTGCCCCGCCCCCACTGCCCTGCCGTGGACCCTCCCAGCCCCTCCATCTCTTTGGACCCGCTGACTTCTCTGTCTCCTCTCCCCCGCCAGCCAATTTCTTGACCGAGTCTTCTGAGCCATTAGCCTGATTTCCTGCCTACCTGCTTCTCCCCGAGCCCAGCGTAGTCCTGCTTTTGCTTCAGACTCTTGTCTGAAACTACTCTCTTTAAGGCCCCCCAGACCCCTTACCACCAATCCACAGGCCCCTCGACTCCCCGCAGCCCCTGCCTTGGGAGCCAGGCCCTAGTGTGGCAACTGTCCCTGCAATCCTGTCATGGCTCAACTCAATGCATCCTGACGGACGGACATAGGCTCAGGAGCAGGAACCACAGGGCCAGGCAGGCAGGGCTCCAGTCCCTGGGCCTCTTCAATCCGCTGTGCAGCCCGGGGCAAGTGACTTTCTCTCTCTGAGCTTCCCCTTCACTGTAAAATGGGGAGATAACGGCAGCTACCCCTGCCAGGCCCTGTTCTAATTACACATGTTAACTCATTTGGTCCTCACAGCAACCCTGTGAGGGAGGTTTTAGGATTATCCCCACTGTGCACACTGAGAAACTGAGCTGTGGACAGACGTTATAGTTGCACTGCCCAAAACGGTAGCCACGTGGTGCCACGTGGGGCTGTTTACCTTTCAATTAACCTCAGTTACATTAAAAACCCAGTTCCTGAGTCACACTCGCCCCGTTTCACGTACTCAATAGCCACATGTAGTTACTGGAGACTGTACTGGACAGCGAGCTACAGAACATTTCCATCGTCCCAGAAAGTTCCGTGGGTCAGGACATTGCCTAAAATTACGCAGCAGTCTGGCGGAGCCCCGCCCTCCATCACGCTCTTGATCCCAGAGGGGGCCCTGGCTGAATAAGACAAGACGGGCTTCAGGCCCAGCAGCACAGGGGCGCTCTGTCCACACCTCCTTCCCCTTCCCTCCTGGGGGGGCAGGCAGGACATTCCACTCCCTGGGCTCCCTCACTGACCTTCCTCCCGTCCTCTTCCTGACTGGGGACGTCTTCTCCACCTCCCTCCTCCTCAGTTCAGCCTCTGACCTGTGCCCGCAGACTGGCCCACCCTTCGGGGGCTTCTGGGTGGGCCTCCCGAGCTGCCCTTGGCGTCCCCTCCCGGACAGACCCGGCCCGCACGCTTCAAGTGAAACTCGCCCCCAAACACACTGCCATCGCCTCCCCCATCTGACCAGCTCCTTTGCCATTTTTAACTCTCTGGGTTCCCCGCAGCTCCACGACCAGGGAGGAGTGGGCTGTGCCTTCAGCGGCCACCCAAGACCTTCCAGTCAGGTCCGCCCACTGTCCTTGCCCCGTTCTCCCCTCCCCGCTTCCTCCCTGCATTTCCACAGCACGGCTCGCCTGCACGCAGCACCTCCCACCTGTTCGCGGTGTCAGTCACGAGTCTCTCCCTCTTCCCTGCCCCCTCCCCACCCATCCTACACAGGCTCTGCCAGAACAATCACTGGCAAACACTTGGCAACGCACCCTCTCCTGCTCCAAAACCCAAGCCCCTTGGCTCCCGGCCGGCCGGCCTTCACCTCCGAGACCAACCTTGGCCTGGCCCTGCATCGCTCTCTGGTGGGGACCTGTGGGGACATGTCCTTTCCGTGGGCGCCCAGAACCCCACTGGGCCCTCTTCCTCCCTCCCTCAAGTCAAGTCAAAGTCAACAAGAATTATTTAAAGAAATCCTGCTGGGAGTCCTCTGGTGAGACAAAGACTCCTTTTGTTATGCAAATGATCACACCTAATTTCCCTTGTTTTGTTCCTTCAGGTTTTAAAATCAGTTTTCCCCTGGAACTGAAACACACCTCCTCCCTGCTCCTCCCTGCCCCCCAACACACACACACACACACACACACACACACACGCACGCACGCACGCACACACATGCGCACACACGGAGTTCCAGAATTTAGGGGAACTTGGTGGCCGCCCTTCTGCCCCCTGCTCAGAGCATCCCTGCTCTGCTCTGCACTTGCCTATTGTTCTTCCCTGCCCCTCCCCCACGGACCCATCTTCTTCCTCTCCTTTAAAACCTGCTTCCAAGTTCCCCTGCTGCAGCAGCGTTTCTCTAATTAACCTCTCTGGCCCCATTGCCTCCTGGTTCTGCAGGATCCCAGCCGTAAGTGGCCACAGCCTCCCAGGGCTGTGCTGCTTAAAGAGACCGTGGAGACCTCCTAATCCAACTGGTTCATTTTACTGATGAGAAAATAGGCCCGGAGAGGGGGCACAAGTCGCCCGGGTCACACAGCTAGTCGGTGGGGTGGGCCCAGGTCCCCAGACCCTCAACCTAGAATCTGCGCATCTGTGTGCATGGCTGACCTACATTTGCCGGCGTGTTGTGTGTGTTTCCGTTGTATTGTGGGTGGCTGCTAGATTAGGGAGAGGAGAGGAGGAAATGGGGGCTTTGGAGACGTGTGTGGTTTTGAATGAAGCCTGTGGCCAGGTGTGGGGCTGGGCAGGTAAAAGGGTCCAGATTCGCCTTGCTGAGCATCTGGTAGTTGGGTGGGGCTACGGGTGGAAGAGGGGCGGCTGGAGCTAGGCATGGATGTGTGCCAAAGAAGGGGCTATGGGAGGAGCCCCTTATGCCCAGACTAGCCCTGTTTTTGCTCACTCCCCTCACCTCCAACATACCTAGCACCCACCATTGCTGAGCCCCTCAGAATGGCACTGCCGGCTTGGAAGCCACCCCTACCATCCCCCCTCCCCCCACCAGTCCCAACCATGTGTCAGGGCGTGACCCAGGAGCCCCTGACTTCTACCCTGAGCAGGGGACCCAGGGCAGCACTGGGAAGAGGTGGGCCCAAGCCCTCCTGCCTGGCGGGTCAGGCATCATCCCTGATTCCGGAAAGGAGGTGAGGCATTGTCAGAGAACTTACGTTCCGTCCTCGTTGCTTCTGTAGAACACCAAGAAGGGGTCGGACTTCCCAAAGAAATCTTTCTTGTCCAGCTTGTTGGCACAGAACTGCATCGTGGCTACATCCTGGGGGGCGGGGGGAAGAACAGGGGTGTGAGGCAGGAGAAGGCGGGAAGGTGCCCCAATCCCTGTGGATACACAGTCCCGGGGCCCTGGAAGACAGGAGGATTCGAGCACCGAGCTGGTTAGAAAGAACAGCGTGTTACATTTGCCCGGCACCACCCAAGGGCCAGGCGCTGGGCTAACCCTTCGGAGGGTCTCCTTTCATCTTCAAACCCCACCGGGCAGGTCTCCCTCTCCCAAACGGAGAGGTCCCAGTTTGAATTCTGGCTCTGCCACTTTCTAGATGTATGCCCTCGAACCAGAGAGGCAAGCTCTCAGAGCCTCAGTTTCCCCCTCTGTAACACAGGGCTAACAGCAGTACACAACTCAGAGCACTGCCATGTGGGCTAAATGCAAAGCACTTAGCAAAGTGCAGGCACGTCAATGTTAACACACCTCACTTTGTCACTATTTTCCGGGGGTGGGGGGGTACAGGGCTCAGAGAGGTGACATGGCTAACCTCAAGGCTACTCTGAACTTGGTCTGCCCACCTCAAAGTCCTCGCTTCTGTCCACACTGCCTCATTCTCTCACACCCCGTGTGGTCCCTGGAGGACAGCCCAGAGGAGGCATTGCTTCCACACCCACTAACCCAGGAGAGGCCCACCCAACTCTCGAAGGTAGGGACAGCCCCTTTTACAGCTGAGGAGGCTCAGGCTCGGAGCAGGGGGCGACACCCCCAAGTTCACCAGGCAGAACCCTGGGTTTCTGACTCCCCTCGCGGTTCATGGGCCCAGCTGACCCCATACTCGGCCCACGAGCACAGAGAAGTTACCCAGGGCCTGGTGAGGGCTGCTGGGTCCCTCCCCTCACATGACCCCTAGCCCCTTGGTTTGCCACGGCTGACCGGGCACTGGGCAGAAACGCCCCCATGCCCTTCTCTCCCCGAAATCTCCCTTCTCTCAACCCAAAATCTCTGCATCCCGACAAATCTCCTGCCAACTGGCCAGAGCTCGGAGCTTTGTCTTCTAGTCCTTGGGGCCTGCCTGTCCCTGTCAGAGACTCACCTAGCTCTCACGCTGCCCCCTTCCTCTCAGTGGGGAGGAGGGTCTCTTGCGCTCAGTCCCACAGCCCAGTGAGGACCAAAATGGTGGCAGAGATGAAAAGGCAACCTCCCACAAGTTTGAAGGGCATGGTCAAAGGTCTGGGGGAGGGGGGGCAGTGGTATAATGGATAAGGTATGGTCACTGGAGTCAGGCTGCCGGCTTGAGTTCCAACCCTTTCTAGCTGGGTGCCCTAGGGCAAGCTAATTACCCTCTCTGGACTCAGTTCCTCATCAGTAAAATCGGGTACTGGCAGTGCCGACCCCATAGGCTTGTTGTGAGGTTGAAGTGAGTTGATAAGAGTGTGCTGCTGACAACAGCAGACGGTGCACACTAGCTGTCACGGATGTGCAAGCCATTCCGGTTATTTGGACACTTGCCTTCCATGCACACACAACGTATGTGGCCTCTGTCCCTGCCCCACCCCACCTCACATGCCTCCCCTCAAGGACAGCTGACAATAGTCAACACAGAGCATCCAGCCACTCACTCACTCATTTATTCATTTGTTCAACAAACATGTATTAGATACCACATGTATAGCCAAGCCACTGAGCTCCTCATCACCTTCAGCCCACGAATTAGGCCTTTGTTGCTTTTTTATCAACGAGGAAGCTGGAGGCGGGGCCAGCTGACCTGCCCAAGATCACCAGCTGGTAACCAGCAGAGGTCACACCACTTGGTGAGAGAGCGCATTCCAGCTGAGAGGCCTGGGGTGGGGGGTGGGGGTATAGGCAAGGGGTGGGGTGGCCTCTGGTTAATCTGGGACCAAAGTACCCACTACAGGGAGGCTCTGAGGAGGGGCAGTGCTGAGGGATACCGCAGCCAGTGCACAGAGGTGCCCAGGGAACGACGGTTTTCATCATGTCCCCTTCACGGCCAAACCCTGTTAAGGAGCTGGACCGGGGGCCTGCAAGGCTTAGCAGCTCCAGGAATCCTAGAGCCTCTAGAGAAATCTAGGACTTCAGATCTGGAATAAGAGAATCGCTGACTTATTGAGCACTTACTGTATGCAAGTCACCGTGCTAAGCCTTCTCTTTACATATATTATTTTACTGAATCCTCATAAAGACCATATGAAGTAACTCCACTATTCTCCCCATTTTACAGAAGAGAACACTGAGGCTTTCAAAGGCTGCTATATGCCCACCGTCATACAGAGGGTAACTGAGGCAGGCAGACTTCAGGGCTTTTCCTCTCATCCTCCCAAAAAGATCTCTAGCCTTCTAAGCCTTGTCTCTCCGTAGGAGAAAGTTCCGATCTTACCCCCTACTATATGGAGGAAGCAGCTTATTTAAAAAAATTTTTTTAATGTTTATTTATTTTTGAAAGAGAGACAGAGCACGAGTGGGGGAGGGGCAGAGAGAGAGGGAGACAGAATCTGAAGCAGGCTCCAGGCTCTGAGCTGTCAGCACAGAGCCTGATGTGGGGCTCGAACCCATGCATGCACCATGAGATTATGACCTGAGCTGAAGTCAGACGCTTAACTGACTGAGCCACCCAGGGGCCCCAGAAGCATTTTAAATGCCTCCCAGGGAAGCTCTATCCCATGGCCTAGAAAAAGGAGGAGGCTTAGGACCAGGTGGGCTCCCCCAGCACTGGCTATATAATTTGTGGGGACCAGTGGAAAGGGAAAATGTGAGAGCAAGGCATTAAACCAAGTTTAGGGCCTGTGTCACTGCACAGATCATAGGCCCATGAAGCCAGCCCTGGCTCTTCCCCACAGAGGCACTGGGCAGTGGCATCAGAAAACACTGACCTCTTGGGGCACCTGGGTGTCCAGGCTCAGTCGGTTAAGCTTCCGACTCTAGATTTCAGCTCAGGTCACCATCTCATGGCTCATGAGTTCCAGCCCTGCATCGGGCTCCGTGCTGGCAGAGTGGGGCCTGCTTGGGATGCGCTCTCTCTCTCTCTCTCTCTCTCTCTCTCTCTCTCTCCCCTCCCTCTCTCTCTTTCCTTCTAAGTAAATAAACTTTAAAAAAAGAAAGAAAACACTGACCTCTCAGATTCTGCCAAGGACAGCAGTGGAGATAGCCCAGCAAGGTGCCCATAGTTCTGGTGTCTCAGCCTCAGTTTCCTCATCTGTTGAGTGACATGCTGGACAGGATGACTACACTGTCTTTTAACACCGGGCAATTTCGGCTTCTGTACTAATGCTACGGGGAGCGCACTGGAACAGGGTGGGGATGGGGAGGCTGGCACTCAGGGGATAGTCTGGGAATCCAGAACCCCTCCATCAGCTTCCCCGGGCTACAGTTTGGTCGCATCTCCAGATGTGACGTCACACATCTGGAGGTCACCTGCGTGACACCTGCGCCTGAATGAGCACAGGCAAGCCACACGCAGCAATCTGTACTGGTCGGCTCTAAAATACATACACATACTGGAAACAGCCAAGCCTGAAAACTCTGGGGGAAAAAGTTCTCACTTTTGCTTCCTAGGAAAACCCTCCAAAGCCCTGCAAGATCGGGAAGGGGACGGGAATAAGAGGACAAAATCATCACAGAACTTCATAGATTGTAACTCCCGGGACCATCCGGTGTCCCCTGGGAGGGCCCCTGTCCCTGGCACAACACCTGACGCAGAGAATACAAAGGAGCCAAGGCCACCTGGCTGGAAGCCCACTTCTGCCACCTACCAGCTCAGCAGCCTCTGACAAGCAACTTAACCTAAGCCTCGGTGTTCTCCTCTGGAAAAACAGAGTAATATTTAGAGTAATAGAGTAGTATGAGCTTCAGGAAGGCTGGAGCAAACGGCATATGTTGAATACCCGTGCACAGAGCCTAGCACGGAGCAGCTATAAGAATAGCAGCCAGGGGCGCCCGGGTGGCTTAGTCGGTTAAGCGTTCGACTTTCGCTCAGGTCATGATCTCACGGTTCGTGGGTTCAAACCCCGCGTCGGGCTCTGTGCTGACTGCCAGCTCAGAGCCTGGAGGCTGTTTCAGAGTCTGTCACTCCCTCTCTCTCTAACCCTCCCCTGCTCATGCTGTCTCTCTCTCTCCTAGAAATAAGTAAAAACATAAAAAAAAATTTTGACTAAAAAAAAAAAAAGAATAGCAGCCAACACTTGTGCAATCCCACTGGGTCGGACCCTATGAAACCGCCTACCCACGAAAATGGCACGCTAATAGGGGTCGACCTAATATGCATGTGCCGAGCACTATTTTACAGTGATTAATTCATTTAATCCTCTCAATTGCCCCAATGAGGTAGGCACTATTATTATTCCCATTTTAGAGATGAGGAAACTAAGGCCCCGAGGGGTTAACGTCCTCTCCTGAAGCCACACAGCTATTAACAGGAGAAGCTGGGATTGGATCACGACAGTCTGGCTCCAAAGATTATTAACTGAGATTCCAAATGATGACCCCCCGAATCACCAAGATAAGTTTAGTTTATGTTCAGCAGCCTCCATTTGAGGAGTCAGAGAAGTGTGAAATCCATTTTAGAAAGGCCTCCTCCATGCAAACTAGTTAAAATTAAAGAAAAGAAAAGAAAAAAAAGGACTGGCATCGAAATTCAGCTAACTGGAAAAAGGCTCCAGGGAGCCACACCTCATTCCCCCCGCTGCTGGCAGATACAGGTGGTGTTGCTGGCGGCTTGGTTTGTCGCTCAGCCCGCCCTGCCCTCCCTAACACGATCTAGACCCAGAAACATTCACCAAAAGCCCATTACGATCACGATCACAGGCACTGCTGTGCCGCTGTCACTGTGGGATCCACAGGGACACAACAGACCTTCAGTGAGATTTCTAGGCTGTAACGAAAGCAAGTTTCTTCCCTCACGGGTGAGCCCGCCCTGGGGAGTCCTTGAGACCAGGAACCGTCGCAGTCTGGAGACCCTGCTTCTGAAGCGGCTCTGAGTTATGTCAAAAGTCATTATCACACGAACAAGGCTTTGACTGCTCCCCTCAAACGTGGGT